ATCGCTAAAAAATGAGTTCAAAAATTTGACGTCATCATTTTTGAACAGTTTTTTCGCTATTACTTGGCCAAAAAACGAGATATCGATCTGAAATTTGGTATGTATATAGAAGAGCACAGGGACTATCATATATGCCGTTTTTTCGAAATTCGGAACTTTTTTGGATTTTTTTTAGCTTTTCTAAAAAAATCAATTTTTTGAATTTTTTGGGGTCAAAAACCCAAAATTTTGAAAATCCGAGATAACAGTTTTGTAGCGCCGCTTTTTGTCTACTAGACCATATAAAGAACTTTGAAATTGCTTGGTAACTGTAAATTTGGTGAGCGTTTCAAGATTGCATGTTTTTTGCTCATTTTTGCTCGAACATGACCTCAGTTTGACCTCAATAACTCCTGACCTAAGGTGACCTAAGACTTGAGATTCGGCGTGAAGGTGTCAAATTGATGCCCGGGAAGGTATTGAAAATTTGGCGGCGCTGCGCGCCACCGTTTTCTTGCTATTCAAGAAAAACCACAGGGGGGGGGGCCAAAATGCCCCCCCAACGGGGCGAGGGATATCTCAGCAACCACTCGACCGATTTACATGCGGTAATTTTTGTAGGGTAGCTTCATTCCTTCTACCAAGTATTGGACTATACCCTATGCATGTGGGTGACCGCTTATGCACGTGCCACGTGCAAAACGAAGAGGTGCCACTTTTGTAATTGTTGCAATATCTCGGTAACACTTGGCCGATTGCGCTGAAAGTTGGCATGTAGGTAGGCACCCACTAGGCAATGCATATCCATGTGCCAGAGTTGGGGTGCTGCTGCACGTGCGCACGTGCAGGGGTCGTTTACAGATCTCGAAAACGGCTGGACCGATGGCGCTCAAATTTGGCACACGGTCAGGGACCAGTTAGTAGGGTGTCGTGCAAAAGTCAGTTGGGACCCATTTTGCACGTGCGCACGTGCAGGGTGCCGCTTCCAGATCTCGAGAACGGCTGGGCCGATTGTGCTCAAATTTGGCACATCGCTAGAATCCGGTTAGTAGGGTGCCGTGCACAAGTCAGCTGGAGGTACCCCCTCGAAATTTCGCACGTGCAAGGCTCACACTCTCGCTCGCTCCGTTAGTCGCCCCAAAAGGCGTTATACTGGTAGTATTCTCGCAAACTTGTACGACCTCTGGTCCGATATAGCTCCACCGAATTTAACTTCTCTGAGTGACTCAGAAGCAGCAGCGTTCCCTAGTACCGGTCTGCTTTGAACAAACAAAACAGCGGCAAACGGGGCAAACGGAGCCACAGAGCTGAGATCCGAACAACGGGGATCTATACATATACGGCAAGACACCGAGCCTAAAGCCTGAAACAGACTCTTTCCGCAGTCAGGAAATCGCATGCGAGAGCCTATTCAAATACATGGATGCACGCTCGCATCAATCGCACGCACCTCCCGCAAGCGATTGATGCGAGAAGAATTACAATGTATTTGAATAGGCTCTCGCATGCGATTTCCTGAACGCGGAAAGAGTCTGTTTCAGCCTTAAGACGGATCGGCATGACGAGAACGGCTTTTGAATTATTATTTAACTTCGCCGTACTTCGATTTAGACTTTTATCGTAATGTGGACTCAGGAGAGCATTATATGATAGGTATATATTATATTTATTTGCGCTTAGATGCCGACCTTCAAAATAATTGGTCCTGTGGTTCGATAAGCACATCAGATAATGAAGGCACCTCGTTAGTCGTTACGGATAAGAAATGATGACTTATACAATTAAACGAATGTCAAAACCGCGCACCGTGCAGTGTCAGGCTGCACAGTTACAGTCAAAATTAGCATTGACATTTCAATTATCCTTCTTGGTTTTCACTGTATCGATTAATTTCGTAATGCACGTGCATCGGATAAACAACACGTGACTGGATTCCTGAAATACAGAAATCCTATTCCGTATTCGTGCCGTTCAGACATTCCAGGCGCGCCTTTAATTTAGTAGCCGGTTAAGTTGTCGGATGACGTATGAAGACGTTTCTTGCTGATGACTTCCCAGTTGTGTCCCTCGGGCGTTACGGGGCCTTTTAATAAAACGAATGTTTGACGTTTAAATAGTTCGGTCGACCGGTTGGTCCCATAACTGATATCTACATAATTACACCTCTGGTGGAGTCATCATCTGACTCCTCCAGCCTGCAGGCTCCCCTGGAGGCCTGAGGCTGTCATGCACCAAGGCGAGAAACTGTGCAGCCCCCCCCCCCCCTCCTCAGCGCGCGGTGTGCCGCACCGTCTAACCCTGCTGTCACTGAAGGATTAGGCGCAGGTGTGAGCTGCAGTCTCACCCGGCTGCAGCCTGTCGGCTTCACAGTTATGTCTGCTCGACAGCTCGGCTCGGTGAACCCCACAGTTCTGTCAGCGCCACAGCCCGGTGAATCTCTCAGTTCTGTCTGCCCACAGTCCTGCAAGCCCCACAGTTTTGTCGGCCTCACGGCCCCACAGTCCCGTTGGCTCCACAGCTCGGTACAAGGCCGGCCGGCAGCTCGCTGCGGGTGATGCCTATTACTGCGAGCTGGTGGTGACGACTGCGGGTTTGCAGAAATGCCGAGGTGCGGGTCCATGAGGAGAAAAGGTCGTTTCTTTGTTGAAATGTTATTCGACCGGGTCTGATCTGATCATGAGTGACTCGTAAATGCGATAATAACCGCTTGTTTTTACTCTTGATCCATACATCATTCATGATTCGGTCGGTGAATGAGCTCATCCATGTTGGGTTGCCCGTTTAAACACCTTCGCACCTGCAGCTGAGGTGTCGGTAACATGATTATTATGTCATTGACTTAGCCCGCGCCCGGCTGGGGGTCCTGGATTTCCACGCCCTGCTGGGGGGGGGGGGGTGTTTGAACACCCCCCCCCTTGTAACTCGGCTCCTGGGCCACGTAGCGATACGCGGAAGGCGGCGTTCGAAAGAGCGTCAAAAATAAAGACGAAATCACTTCAGTCAATTTTTTGGTCAGGTCAAAGGTCAGGTCACCAGAGGTCATTGAAGGCAAAATTTCGCCGATTTCCAGGTCGAATGTCGAAAATTTCCAAGAAGCCAACGTATAACTCGGGAACCAATAGAGCTACAGCGCCGCGGAAAAGCGCATTCGATAGCCCTATTAACGCCCTTTCTGAGTAATTCTCTCAGATTTGACCTAACGTCAACGGTTTTGCCTGCAGGGGGCAAAAACGGCAAAAATAGCCGATTTTTTCTGCAATAACTTTTCACCCAAGCCCTGTACGAGCTTACTTTTACCGGCATCGTGTTCCTCTCGTCAAGACGCATCGAATGAACTATGACTTGACCTTGAAAGGTCAACTTGAAAATTTGACCTCAGGTCAATGTCATGACCTGACCGGAAAGGGTCATGTTGCATATCAGTCGATCCGTATCGTCGAGCTGAACACATCTAAGGCGTTTTCATCGCTCTAGCATGCCTCTATCAAAAGTTATTTGCGAAAAACTGTTAGATACCTACCATTCGTGACCTATCACCTAAGATGACCTCGGGGCATAAACAAGGGTCACGGACACCATTTTCATGTTCAGTGTGTCTAAACCGCTTGTAATTCGGTGTTTGGGAGTGTTTATAATGTCTTTCGTCCAAAAGAGGCGCATTTCAATTTTCTCCCATTGACTTATAATGGGGAGATCGCAAAATTGACCTGACCTTAGGTCATCGATATCAAAATTCTGAGATCAACATTTTGTACATGCTATTGCTCTTAGCAATCGCTGAAAGTTTCAAAGCGATCGGTCACTCGGTGTAGCTATGACAGACATTGAAACTTTTTATGAGGTGAGGTCACTTCAAGTGACCTGGTGACCTGACCTTGAATGACCTTGGTCTGAAATTTTCACAACATGTGTAGAATTGATGTATGATAAGGTGTACCAAAAACGGCGGCGCTCCGCGCCGCCGTTTTTGAGATATTTGCGAAAAACCACAAGGGGGGGTGTTCAAACACCCCCCAGCAGGGCGCGGGTTAGGTCATGATGGTGAGGCGTTTTCCTGCCTGTAGCCGTGATAGGTAGGACCTAGTTGTGTCCAGCGACCCACTGTCCCCTATTTAGCCTTCACCCGGCCACGGAATGGGGGGGGGGTAATTGATAGAACCAAGGATATTTCGCTGATATGTAGATGAAAACTGTGTTTCGACGTTGTACGTTTTAATAGTTTAATAGTTTTATTTAATCGTTTTAATTAAAATTGTGCAACATTTGTAGCGCAATTAATCATTTTTTAACAAATGCGGCCGGCTTATTCGCAAACAGCGTGCTTTTATCGTCTGCATGTAGATTTGGCGACACTTTTGTTTTCGTTGGCGACACAACAGCACTCGGGTGATTTCATTCATGACCTGGCTTTGTGAATGCCACGCTGTGAGGACAGATCATGTCCCACAATTCCCAGATAAACATTTTAACGACTCATAAAAGTTGAATCACCGTCTAAAGCCATGACGCGAGACTCGCCATGTCATGGTTTAGAGCTTACTTCGGATTTTATGTGTGTCCAGCCACGATACGGACTTGTACCCCGCCTGCACCGTTCCTTTGCCGTTCGTCGTCGGTCAGCCTTCACACCGTCCTTTTTCCCGCACTCCGTAACCGCTGAGCCATTTGTAATGACCACTTACCTATACGGTACATCTACACTTCGTTATTTGTGCTGACAAAGTCTCACTCACCAATCGCGTATCGCTCTGCCCATGTCGTTTTCGTGCCGAAAGCGGCAGACGGCATATCATTCTGTTCCTGTACTTGCTTCTCGCTGTTCGCTTCTCTCTCTCTCTCTCTCTCTCTCTCTCTCTCTCTCTCTCTCTCTCTCTCTCTCTCTCTCTCTCTCTCTCCTTCTCCCTCGGTGTACTTCTTCGTTTACCTCAACTCCCCCCCCCACACTCTCCCTCTGTCGTGCTTCAACCGTCCGTCTCAGCCGACCCTTCTCTGACCTCCCCCCTCTCCTCCTTTCCCCACAGGAGGTGGACGAGGAGACCGTTGACGAGGAGTCGGCCGTGTCAAAGGCCAACCGGACCGCCGGCGCCACGGCCCAGTCGGAGCAGGACCTCAGCCGGCCGCTGGGCGCCGCCGCCGCCAGCGCTCCGATGGCTGTGCCGGCGGGGCCGCGCAGTCGCGCCCCTGTCGAGAGCGATTCGCCGCCTGACGGAGACGCCGAGGACACCTTCCCCGGCTACTCGCTGTCACCGCGTCACGGCCGGCCCCGCGGCCGACCCCGCAAGTCGATATGACGCGTCGGCCGCATGCTCCCGCCTGTGATAGACGCTGCCGTCACCGTCGGTCTCGACGGTCCCGTGCCGCCGCCGACGTGGGCGACCCACTTCGCGACGGGCCCAAGGAAAACACGGTACCTCCGACCGCGCAGCCGCCGCCGCCGCCGACGCTCGGGGCTGTATTTTTAGTCGTGCAATGTGGCCGAGAGGTGGTGAGCGGAGGACGAGGGGAGGGCTGCCCGGAGGTGGCCGAGCTAGTTCACAGCGCGGCCGCTAGGTGGCGGGGCAGGTCATGGTCGCCAGGTGGCGCTCAGGTCACCGAGGTGAAATGGATTTCGGCGGAAGGGACGTCGTGTGGAAACCTGTGACGGCTGCCGACGCCGGTGCAGCACTAACACTAGCGCGGCCGGCGAACAAGTGCGTCGAAGTGCCTGTTTTATCGTAGTGTCGGTGGTTAACAGAATCTAAAGGCGCTGAGCTGTCCCCTGTGGTGCTGTGCGAGGGTTTGCGGAGACGCGTGACCATTTCTCTGTGAAGTCAGGTGAATGTACTACCGCATGTGCTGTCCTAAATGCAGGTGTCGCTTTAGTTTTGTCGCTGGCACTCATGGCATTGCGAAGTTTCTCTTGGTCTTCGTAAGCGCAGTGAGCTTGTTTTTGTCCAAAAACGAAACGCAAAAGAGTGAACCCATGTTTGGCGTCACCAGCAGCCACAGCAGCCAGTGGACATTTCACTTTTCAGCCTGACGTAACTATAGGTTAATATCTATCTGTCCCAATGGGATATTTATCGAACAGACAACAGAACATCCACTTCCACGAGGCGTGAACTTTGGATGACGATGAATCGGTGTGAAACCGCTGACCAAATGTCGGGTCGGGGCTCTGTGCGCTCTCTGTGAGGTGGCACTGATAGAGGGCCTTGAAAGGTGGAACCGTTCTGGGAGTCGATGTTGCGCCCCAAATCTCTGCTGAACCGGAGGTGACTAACTAGCTCGGCCGTCTACCGCTCGGCCGTCTACCGAGCTACCGACAGTCCCAGTCAGTCCGTGGTCCATCCGTCTGAGATCAAATTACCAACAGATAGAATAACCGAGAAAGGGACCTTGACTCGACAGCGGAACCCGAGGGCGAAATCCGCTCCCGGGAGGTGTGCCAACTTGTCTTGTGCGCGAGCATGTTGTGTGTAAGAGCGAGTAGCGTGCACTTTGACGTCGTGTGCGGGTCGCTGTGAAAAGCGGCGACCAGGGGCGGCTGGTGAGTGAGCTGGTGAGCTGTACCCGTGCAGCATCTGGTTGGTCGGTCGGTCTGAAATGTGCAATGTGAGGCGTGGCGAATAAATGCTTGTGAAGTGGTTTAACGAAGCTGATTATTGGTGCACTTTAGCGGCGGAATGTCAATAGCAAAGCGTATTTACGTGAGCCGTTGTCCATTGCCGATGATATCTTCAGACCGACGCCTGTAGGGTACGTGTTGCCCTCTTTGACCCGTCTCGTTTATACGTCACAGAAGTTGAGTCCTAGGAAGCTCAGATGATGACAGTCCCGCCCCCGCACACAGGTAGTCTCTCTCTCGTGATAAACACTGTCTGGGCAGGCCCTTCTCTTCCCGAAACATTGCGTCACGTTGCGGATACCGCTCCGGTATAGCGCCCCAGGGAGGAGGGAACAGATCAACAAACGGTTCGTGACTCACAACAGACGCGCCGTCACAGGTGGCACCGGTAGCGTCACGACGTGTGAAGTCGAGGCCGTTACTCAACGTGAAGTGACTCAGACATGATCTTCACCTGAGCGGCTAGCCGGAACATCCCACATAAATAACGAGACAGGATAAGCATTTCAAAAGTTGCTGAGCTGTGTGTATGTCCTCGAAGAAAGCCCTGTGTGTTGGCACGTGAAACTCGTCTGTCATGACTATGACGCATGTATTATCGCTGAGTGGCCCGCCATTCTGGACGCAAAGCTGGAATCACCAATCACTGCCCAGCTTGAATGCATCAACGTGATCAACAAAACCCCACCCAAATGAAACCACTAGCACACAAACACACTAACATAAGACATTGTCAAAAATATGGGCCGTCCTGAGCGCTCGACTTTCGTGGCTATGTGAAATATGTTTTACGTCAAGTGAACATCAACGCATTTTCAGTGTTTGCTGGATATCATATTGAATCAAATCCCGATGAAATTGTCCGAAAGCGAAGCAAGAAAGCACCAACAAAGGCGTGTTTTGTACTCAAAGCCAGATGCCCGAATCAGCGTTCGACAGAAACGGCTCACGGTCAGGCGTTGGTGACAAGTGCTGACATCTATCGACAAAATACGCTACTGACCACAAGTCGGGGGAAAATTACCGATAGTCAACTCATGAACGTTCCAATGTTTCCGTGAGCCACAAGCAGCCAATGCAGCAAGGTCCACTCCAAGTCAAACATATACATATGATCCTGCACAGTGCACACGTATACGGAACACACACACACATGCCGTCCATGACCCAGTGATGTGAAACACCAATCCACTGAAGTAACAAATGCTAGGTCGAGTCCCGCTGCGACCGCACGGGTACTCGCAGGGTCAGACAGTACCTATCGCCCGGGATCGCAGACACTCCCCCGTGCCACTCAAAGGGAGGGATGCCACTCGTCAGGCACCCACCTCCGTCCCGGGACTAGACTGTCTCACTCGCGGCAGTAGCGGCCTCACTTGCAGCAGCCGCCGGTGCACCCTCTGACGGCCCATTGCTGTCGCTCACGGCAGTGTTCACAGTCACAGGCGCGCTGTTTTTCGCCGCGGCAGCGTCACTTTTTGTCTCTGTGACTTTGTCACCACCGCCACCTCCGCCAGCGTCCACGGACGAGGAAGAGTCACTCGCCTCTGTCCCTTCCCCGCCCGCGCCGCTCTTTCCCTCTGCCTCCGCCAGAGAGCGACGCACCTCCTCACGATCAACACGGACGATTTTGCCGCCGCGGATCGCGTAAAAGTCGACCTTTTCGACGGTGCCGTCGCGGCTGAGCACCAGGCCGCGTCGCTCGGCGGTCAGCTCGCTGATGGCTCCGTTCTCCAGTGTGTAGAACACCTCGGGCGGGGGAGTCGGCTCCTTACAGCGCTCGGGGGAGGAGCGGCGCGCCCTGCGGGGCCGGCCAGCCGCCTCGGCCGGCAGTCCGTTCCGTACCAGGCGCCGTCGCCGTGCCTCTCGTACCGCCTTCAGTCTCAGCTCTGTCTTCCGTTGGCGAGCTCGACGGGCGGCGCTGGCCGTCAGCGCAGTCCCCGCTCCGGACTTTTGGTCAGGGCTCGGCTCCGGCTCAGATTGGTCTGTGGATGTCTGGGTCTTCTGTTCTGCCTCAGTGCTGGTTTGAGGCTGTGAAGGTTGCTCGCTCTTAGGTGTTGGTTCACTTTTCTGTTGAGCTGATCCGGTTTCTTGCTCTCCGCCCTGATCCGTTTCTAATTTTGCCATCTTTTTCTCTGACTCGGCTGTCAGTGCTGGCTCAGGATCTTCGGCGAGTGCACGCTTTTGTCCTTGGTCTGCTTTCTCATTGTCCTGATTTAGTCCCGGCTCGACCTCTTTTTGCTCCGTTTCGGTTTTGTTCTCACGGTCAGGTTTGTTTCCTTGCTCTGACTGATCTGGCTCCAGGTTCTGTTTTGCCTGTGATGTGTTCACTTCGGTCGGCTTCCGGTCACACTCTGCTCCTTGTGCCGGACTGGACTCCATCTTCACATCTGGGCTCTGTACAGCTGTCTGTTTCTGTTCTACTTCCAAGCTGGGCTTCACCTCCCCTGAAACGCTAACAGGCTGATCTGATTCCGGTGTCTCTTTTGGTCCTGACACAGCCTGCGAGTTTAATTTTTCTTCTACATTTTCTTCAGACTTAGAATTCGTCTCCGACGTAGATTTCTGATCTACATCTACGCTGGGTGGTCGGCCCAACTTTTCCTGCAACTCTGTATTATCCGACTTAGACTCCGGCATAGGTTCGGATGTTGACGTCTCCTCCACCTTGGTCTCCGTAGACGAACCAGGCTTATCAGAATCTGTTGTCTCCATCGGCTCTGAGTGACCGGTGGATTCCTGGTCCTTGTCAGACTCTGGCTTTTCTTCCGCCTCTGGTTTCACGTTGTGCCCTGGGTCAACTGGCTCAGGTTTGGAATCAGATTCCAGACGCAACTCGGGCTTCTCAGCAGATTCGGAGCTCTGTTCAGGTTGTGAGGTTTTTGCCATGTCACGCTTTGCTTCTGGTTCAGGTGACTCAACCACCACTGGTTTTTCGTTCGACTTCGACTGCCGATCAGGCTCTGATTTCTCGACAGATTCTGGTGGCGCTTGAGGTGAACCCGGTTTCGGTTCAGTCGCTTTCGGCTCGGCCTTTGGCTTCAAATCCGTATCTGGTTTGCATTCCGACTCTGTCTCTGGTTCGGGTTTGGTAGCTTCGGTAGCTACAGCAGGCTTTGCTTCAGTTTCTTTCTTGATAGGAATTTCTTCAGGAAGAGATACTTTTTCTTTCTGATCCGCAACCTTCGGGGCAAGGTTATCATTTTCCAAAGCATCCTTCACAATCTCATCATCAGCACTTGGCTTCTCATTCGATGTAACTTGTTTATCCTTTGAGGTGCTCTCTTCCGAGGGTTTCTCGATTTTAGAATCCTTCGCCGTATCAGCTTCCTCATTTTTCGAAGCATCCTTTACAACCTTATCAGCAGTACTTGCGTTCGCCTTCGGTGTAACTTGTTTATCCTTTGAGGTGCTCTCTTCCGAGGGTTTCTCGATTTTAGAATCCTTCGCCGTATCAGCTTCCTCATTTTCCGAAGGATCCTTCACAACCTTATCAGCAGTACTTGCGTTCGCCTTCGGTGTAACTTGTTTATCCTTTGAGGTGCTCTCTTCCGAGGGTTTCTCGATTTTAGAATCCTTCGCCGTATCAGCTTCCTCATTTTTCGAAGGATCCTTCACAAACTTATCAGCAGTACTTGCGTTCGCCTTCGGTGTAACTTGTTTATCCTTTGAGGTGCTCTCTTCCGAGGGTTTCTCGATTTTAGAATCCTTCGCCGTATCAGCTTCCTCATTTTCCGAAGGATCCTTCACAACCTTATCAGCAGTACTTGCGTTCGCCTTCGGTGTAACTTGTTTATCCTTTGAGGTGCTCTCTTCCGAGGGTTTCTCGATTTTAGAATCCTTCGCCGTTTCAGCTTCCTCATTTTCCGAAGGATCCTTCACAACCTCATCAGCAGTACTTGCGTTTGTCTTCGGTGTAACTTGTTTATCCTTTGAGGTGCTCTCTTCCGAGGGTTTCTCGATTTTAGAATCCTTCGCCGTATCAGCTTCCTCATTTTCCGAAGGATCCTTCACAACCTTATCAGCAGTACTTGCGTTCGCCTTCGGTGTAACTTGTTTATCCTTTGAGGTGCTCTCTTCCGAGGGTTTCTCGATTTTAGAATCTTTTCCTGTACCAGCTTTCTCATTTTTCGAATCATCCTTTACAGTCTTATCATCTGCGGTGCTCACCTTAGAACTAGCCTTTTGTTCGCTGGAAGGCTTCTCGACTTTAGATTCTTCCGCCGTGTCAGCTTTTTTAGGCGAGTCGCGACCATCTCGAGACGGATTTGCCTTCTTACCGCCCGATTTCGAGTCAGGCAGCTCGGCCTTTTCCCTCTCTGTCCTCGAACCCCCGTGCTGCCGCTCTCGGTCGTCTCCGTTAGTCAGTTTCTGGGGCGCGTTTCCCGCCGCCGTTTCGCCCAGGTCGTCCGTCTTGCTGCCGCCGCTGACTCTCCTGGGATTACCGTGCCGGTCCCGGTATCCGGACACGACTCCAGACGCCAGTCTCGCGCCTTCATTCTTGATCCTGACATTGCCATGCCGATCGTGGGTCTCGTCCCGTGACGACCGCGCGTGTCCCGCAGACCCCGCCCTCGTCGGCTCCCTGCTGCGCCGGGAACGGTCTGCTGACCGGCCTCGGCCGGCCGAGTCACGGCGGTTCCTCCTAGATGGCTGATTTTGGGTCACTCGAGCCGGTGACCTGCGGTCTCGCCCCCTGGACCGGCTCCTTGACCGTTCCAACACTGTGCTGAGAGGGAACAGCGACAGCAGACTGGGCCCATCCACCGGCGGCTCAGGGGACCTCTCGCGACGCGGTCCGACTCGGTCGCGTGACCTGCGCGCCGGCAGGTCGTCCATATCCGGGGTGATCCTCTCGCGGCTGCGCACAGACCGGCTACGGTCGGAGCGGCTGCGCTCCAGGGAGAGTGCGCCGCGGCTCCTCTCCTCCGACACACTCAGCTGTTCGGGCGGACCGAGCGGCCGGTTCAGTGCCTTCATGAGCAGCGCGTGCGGACTGACACGGCCGCTGGCGCCCGACTCGGGCCGGTTCAGCGCCTTCAGCAGCAGCGCGTGGGGGCTGCTGGGGTCCTCAGGCGGCTTCAGAGAGTCCTTCAGCAGCGAGAGGGGACTGGGCACCCGCTCCCCGCTCGTGCCCGCATAATCCTCCGAGTGTCCGATCCGCTCGTGACTTCTGCGCTCGCGGCTCCTTCCTTCCCTGTCGGGTCTTCGCAACGATCGCTCGGCTCTCAAGCGCTCTCGCCTCAGCAATCTTTCAGGGGTCATTGAATCCCTTCTACTTCGCTCGAGGCTCCTTCGCTCTTCAAACATAGGTTCAGGAATCCCTGGTTCGAGGAGACCCAGCTCCCCACTCAGTAACCGCTCAAGACTCGGTTCTCTAACAAGCATTTCCTCGGGACTCCGATGCCTGCCCAATGTTCGTTCTGGACTTCGAAGCCTGTTCCGTACTCGATCTGGGGTCCTTCGCCTGTAGCTTGTTCGCTCCGTGCTCGATCCCCTTTTAATGTCTCGTCTATCCCTACCAAATCTTCGTTCTGGGCTCCTTTCTCTGCCTTGCCTTCGATCTGCGCTTCTTTCTCTACTTCGTCTCCGTTCTGTGCCTCTTTCTCTGCTTCGCCTCTGTTCTGTGCCTCTTTCTCTGCTTCGTCTCCGTTCTGTGCCTCTTTCTCTGCTTCGTCTTCGTTCGGGACTTGGTCGCCCCATGTAGCGAATCGGACTCCTCCGTTGCACCGGGGAACGCCGGTGTTCGGACTCTTGTTCAGAGTTCCGCCTTTTCACAGTTCTCACTGGACTTACTCTTCGCTCTCTACTTCTCGAGCGGCGACTGTCATCATCAGGCGAGCGTCTGTGGTGCCTCCCGTCTAGCGGAGAGTGCGAACGGCTGCGAACCACGCGGCGTACTGGCGAGTGCGGGCTCCGCTCCGGAGCTAGCCTACGGACAGGCGGGCTCCGCTCCGGAGCTACTCGCCGCATAGGCGGGCTCCGCTCCGGGGCCACGCGATGGACCGGTGGATACGGGCTCAACTCTGGCGCCCCTCGCGGGTCAGGCGGGCTGAGCTCCGGAGCTACGCGATAGACTGGCGGGTAGTACCTCAGCTCTGGAGCCACCCGGTGGGCAGACGTCGGTGACGGCGGCCGCCAGTGGCCCCCTGGGTAATGATACACAGCAGACTTGGCCGGCCAGCCGCCCCCGTACGGGTGTCCCCACGAGGGAGCGTACGTCACTGCCGGGGGCGGCGGCGGCGGCGGCGGCGGCGGCGGCGGCGGCGGCGGCGGCGGCGGCGGCGGCGGCGGCGGCGGCGGCGGCGGGGCGGGCTGAGGCGGCGCCAGCACGCGGTAGCCGGGCGGTGGCTGGCCGTGCGGTGCCGTGGCGTAGCCCGGGTGTACCGGGTAGGGCGTCACGGGCCACTGGGGGGACGAGCCGACCACGGGTGGCGGCGGGCGCGCGGCCGGCGGCGGCGGCGCGGCGGTCAGCGCCGGGGGAGGCGGCGCCGGCGGCGGCGCGGGCCGCGGCGCCGGCGGCGTCGGCTGCGACTTCTTCCGGGGAGGTGTGGGCGACCGTCGACTCCGGCGACTGTCGGCCAGAGAATCGCCGCGTTAGCCGAGTACAAACATGAGAATGCACATCCGGCCTGCTCAAGTATACCGATGATAAAGGGTTCGAAGTAGACTGAGTAGCCAGTGCTGATAAGATCGGAACATTTGTGGTGAACACTGGCGACGGAACTTTCATACGACTCCAAATAATGTAGACCTTCAGCATGGACTTTCTATGAAAAATAAAGACAACAAGCCAACGAGAAGCTAACAATGAACCAGCCGTTTCTAACGAAAAAACACAGAGAAAAACACTACTGAATGAATCAGCCATTCCGCATCATCCCACTGAAAGGTATGCCACTCTGCGCCTACCTGCTCCGCGGTGTGGCCAGATCGTTGAGAAACTTGCGCATCTTGCGTTTGTTTGGACTGGGCGAGCGACGCCGCGGCAGTAGCAGGTCAAGACCAGAGGTCAGGTCACGTAGGTCATCGTCGCCTGAGGCAGAAAAGGTCATCGTATATATGTAACTGCTTGAAACAGAAAGGTACCATAAAATTGCACCTTCAAAACAAAGAATGCCTGGTCATATCCACAAGGTCCTTATCCAGCTATTCATGTCCTCCCATAGCACTTACGCCTTTCGCTGCGCGTTTTCTCGTTCCGGGCGACGATGGTCAGGCCAGCAGTGAGGTCAGATGCATCTGAAACCAAGCCCGAGTAGCTATTCATACGGAGCACACCGGGCTTTCGGCAGAGATGTAGTGCGCTGAAGCAACACCGGGAATCGGCGGTCAACGGAGGAAGACTGCACTAACTTGTCGAGATTTAGGTGCCAACTGCCGAAACTGGGTTTGATGTAGTCACGATTCGATTGTATTATTCGCAAAATATCGATCGGTGAAATACATTAGAATGGTAACACGGAGAGACAACGAAAAAGTTAACGCCGGAAAAATAGCAAAAATACACAATGCTTTTTGATGTCATACATAAGAAGGTAGAATGAAGATGGACTTACAGCTATCTTCCTCTGCTAGAAAGTTCAGGTCCAGCTCCGAAATGATGTCGAAGGCCCCGTCACGACCACCTAAAATACACGTTCATAAATAATGATGTCCTGCATCTATTGAACTCCGTTGCCACGAAAGTTCAATGCATGGAATGTGCTCCGTTTCAATCATTGTTTACACGTTTGCATACGGCCTATTCAACACACATTGAATATTAATTCCACCTCCAACCTATCATTTCTCGCACACAATCAGATGCATACCTTAAATCCCTACGTAACACAGCAACCAAAGACCGTCGCCATGCCAACGCACACTTGGCAACACATTTACAAAACGGAGCAGAGACTCCAGTGTTACATGGCAGCCCCGGCGGCACGTGCCGAATAGCATTACGGTTCTGAGTGAGAGCGTACCTGGTTTTCGTCCGCGCTCGCGCTGTGGAGCCGCCTCATATCCACGGGAGGAGCCGGGATCCTGAGACCTGCTGGAAAGGGGCACGAGACACCCGGTCATCGCCTATCCGAGGTCAGACTGGGTAGGGCGAGGAATCAGTGGGATGGGAGGGGAACGGGGATTATGTGGTGAGCCGTGGATTTTATTTGGAGCCGTGGATATTAGAGGGCGTAGGATTAACCAGGCAGCGTGGTGGGATCAGCAAAGGTCGGGAAAAGGAAGGGATCTTGAGTTTGAGGGTCCATGTGTGTGGTGATTGTGAAATATTTTGGGGACAGAGGTCAGTACCAAGATGTGAAGGTTCCACCCCCCCCCCCCCAATGCTAATGGTCCCAATTATCCGCCCGCTCAGAATCACACTCTTATCAAATCGGGTGGCTGAGTTCCCACAAATCTCCACACACAGGAAGCCTCCAATTCACACCAATGTTCAGGAGTAGGAAAGGAATGGGTTACTCACCCGGGCGGGTGCGCGCCGTCCTCCGCCATCCTTCTGTGCGCCATCTGCTGCGCTCTGAACCGGGCCCGGTCCAGCACCGAGTCGGAGGCGGCGTGCTGCCCCTCGGAGCCCTGCACGGGCCAGGCAGCGCCGCGCTGCGCCATATCGGCCCACAGGCTCGGCGGCGCTGATGGAGGAGAGACGTGGGCCGGTCAGAGAGGGAGGGAGAGAGAGAGTCGAGAGAGGAAAGTAAAGTGTGGCAGCTCAGCCCGCCGGCCATCGGCCCGCCGGCTCAGCGCTGATGGAGGAGAGACGTGGGCCGGTCAGGGAGGGAGGGAGAGAGGGGAACGCACAGTTAAACAGCTCAGCCCACAGGCTCAGCGCTGATGGAGGAGAGACGTGGGCCGGCCAGGGAGCGAGAGGTACAGCTGATTAACTGAGATCAGTCATCATTGGCATAATGGCAGAGGCAGATCATAACACACCGGGGTGGATGGGGGGGGGGGGGGGGGGGGAGGCCTCCAGCTCGGTTCCTGTGCCACGTAGCAAAATCAATAATTTGATTCAAACTCAAACTTCAGTTTGTACTCTGGGTGCCCTTTTCTGCTGGGGCTGCTCTGCTAGGTGCCTCACAAAGTTGGGGCTGCCCCACTTATGCCTGGGTTACCTACTTCTGCTGAGGGTACCTCTTCCCCCTTGGTCTCTCTTTTCCTAAGGATGCTCCAATAATTTTGGGAGTGTTCTATCTCTGCCTAGGTGCCCATTTCTGCTAGAGATGCCCCACTTCTGCTGGGGCACCCTTCTCTCCCTAAAGTGCCCCGATTCTGCTGGAAGTACCCTTCTGCCTGGGCCCTGGGGCGCTCCACTTCTGCTTAGAGTGCTCTCTTTTACTAGGGATTCCCCTCTATGGGCATCCATCTTCTGCTGGCAATGGGGCTTCCCTCCTTTGCTGAGCAGTCTCCTACTTCAGCCTGGACTCTTGAGTGTCCCTCTACCAGGGATGCCTTCCATTTGCTGGGTGCCCTTCCTTCTTTTGTTGGAAATCGTAGGAGGGGGGTCATCCCTCTATTGTTGGGTCAGCCCAACTTCTGCTGGGATTAACCTTTTTCTGTTGGGACACTCCTCTTCTGATGGGGTGCATCTTCTGGGTGGGACAGTCCACATTTTTGGGAGTGCCCCTCTTCTCCTGCTGTCACCTAGCTTCTCATAGAAAACCCTACTCCAGTAGATGCACTGGTGCCATCTTTTTGCTGATGCCCTTCTCTTACTGTGCATTTTTAATATGGAGCACACTGAGCCCTTTTGGAGTCTGCAAGTGGTCCCACAGTGTATAAAAGACAAAGTATAGCCAGAAAATCAACTTTGCTATCTATTCAAGAGCCTGAACAGCAATGGGCAGTATGCAAGGCAGGGCACCTCCTGACCTGGTGAGTGGTGAGTAAACTTATGGGCCATGGGGGTGTTGCAATTTTATGAATGGGTGATGGGGACACACTTGTCTGGTGCATCCCTAAGCAAAGTTAGGCACACCCATACTGCCTAGACAGTTCAGATTTCCTAATGCTGTACACATTGACCATAAAGAAGCATGGGCCCTTCCTCAATGCCTTGCTGAACTATCCAGCATTACACACAGCTAACACTGAAATCAGCTGTACATACGGAAGTCTAAAGTCAGCTGTGATCCAAATCTCAAATCTGCAGAAAGCTACCTGAACCAACCCTTAAAATTATAACATTTTACCTTCAAGAAGCAAGGCTTTGCCAACTTTATGGGTCAATTTTCAGGGTTTTATGTGGGGTGGTGGAGGTTTGGTTTAAGCACTACATCTGGCAGACCACGGGCTAACTGGAACCTATGCTGTTCCAAGCAGCCAGGCAGTGGCAATGCCATGTGCATCACCCAGAAATTGAACCCAGATCAGAGGGCTGTTCACGGGCACTGCATACTGCTGAGTGCGGTGTGTGGCGTGTGCAGCAGGCGTGGGGGGTAGGGGATGGGTAGTCGGTATGACGTCACACAGCTGCGTGCGGTGGACGGTCCGCTGTGGCCTGTCCCGACCGGCCACAGTAGTCGCTGTGTGCGGTGACGGAAGGCTGACATAGGGACGCAGTGGGCGGAGTTTGGAGCCTTGTACGGTCCTACCGCACACAGGGCCCACAAACAGCCCTCAGGATGGCTGATTCTTCAGGCAAGGAACTCTGACCACAGCAGTGGCTGTGTGCGGTGACGGAAGGCTACGTAGGGATGCAGTCAGCAGAGCTTGGGCCTTGGATGGAGCATGTGTACGGTCGTATCGCACACAAGGCCCGTAAACAACCCTCAGGATGGCTGAATCTTCAGGCAAGGAACTTACCCCTAAACCAGAATGCTCCCCATTACAATTATGCAAGGGCTGATGCAAGCCACGCATTGAATTGGCTTCTTCATGACATACCAAAACTAACCTGAAACTGGCCGCCGCCACGAACCAATGGAACGGGTGTAACCCTTCTTGTTTTGAGGGAATAAGGCCTATCTATACGAAAATATTAATTTTAAAGGTGATTAGCCATCACCATCCCGCGCGGATCCCACATAAAATATGTGACGCTTTCGTCGCTGTTGCGGAGCTTTCACAACTCCAATCAACTTTTGAGAAATATTCCTGTGCCTTTGATTTCGACGGTGCCGAAAGCAGTCAGCTGTTATTGTGCAAATCCCGTTATGTACTGATAAAAATAAGTTAAATCTGTCAATGCTGAATCTACATCAAATTCAAAATTTGTTGAATAAATTTTATTAACATGAAATGGGAAAGAATAAAAATATTTAAACGGTAAAAATAAGATATAACGCACTTTGAATTCATTCTTTCTCCTTTCTTTGAGTATCAGCTGGCACGTAAATTCCACAATTTTCCATAGATTGACACCTTGGTTGCATCTGGTATATTTTCACTGCGCTCTGACTCGGGGGTGTTGTTTATCCTCCGCGTATTTTGTAAAAGGTTGTGATATGCTGGAGTGTTTTTGGATTATTTGTACTTCAGACTAAACGAAAAGTACCTACCTAACAAGCGATGAAGTGCTGTTGCAGGTAAATATACATTTTCCTGATAAATGGTCTCAATTGCCCAAGGTATTACGCAACCAGGTCGTGGCTTATCACAAATGATAAGTTTTTGAATTAAATTTTGACAATAATTCTAGCATGAACTTTGAGTATGAAAACGATAAAAATATTGTTCAAAATTACAGCAACTTCCCAGTGAAAGGACTCTTCAAACATTTATAACACTGGTAGAAAATGAGTTGATCATGATAGAAATGAATGGGAATATTGATTATTGATACCTGTTAACAAGACCCTGGAAAACAAGACCCCCGATTTCCTTAATTCACAGGCGCCAGGCAGCTTGGCAGACGTGCAAGAGGGTGAGGCAGCAATCTGGCAGAAGCTGACTAGACTAGATTCAGTTGCCTCTCTGTCCTTGACCAGTCCTGTTGTGCGCCGCTTTTGCCTCCTTGTGGTCCCAGTCGCGGTGTTGATAGATATTAGCCAGTTATTTCTTATTTTCGTGAGTCATTGTGAATAAGAAGAGCAGAAAAGGTAAGAGTAGGAATCTTTACCATGTCATCTGCCAAAATAAGAACAAGATTGGGATCCAGTGCATCACAAACAGCACAAACAGTGATCAGCAATGATCAACAAGACAAAGAGGTAGAAGTGGACAACAGTGATTGTGATGGGGGAGAGACAATGCAAGGAAGGAAGTCAAAGAAGGTGAAACCAAAGTATGTCTGCAGAGGTGGAAAGAAGCTTTGTGGGCAACGGATTGCAGATGGCGAGGACTCTGTTCAGTGCGATCTATGTGAGGAGTGGTTCCACCCGAGGTGCCAGAGCCTCACCGTGGAGGCCTTCAGGGCGCTATCAGACTACGAGTTCATCTGGCTATGCTGTAGTTGCAAGCCTAACTTCATGGACATACTCAAGATGGGAAAGAAGCTAGAAGCAAAGCTCGAGAACGTCAAGCAAGAGATCATGAACAAACTGGAGATTGACACGAGGGCGGATTCAAGCAAAAGACTGGAAGAAAAAATTGGATCGATGGAGAAATATATCACAGAGAAAATTCAAGAGCAGCAAAAGGAAGCCGAGAAAGTGGCAAAAGTGCAAAAGGAAGTGGTCCAAACCATACCAAAGCTGCAGTCAGAATTGCTCAAAAGTACACAGGATGTGAAGATGCTGGTTGAGAAGAGAGAAGAGCTTGCTAGGAGGGAAGTGAACATCATCATCCATAATATCCCTGAAAGCAAATCCAATGACCCAGGACAGAGGAAGAAGTACGATTGTGACAGTTTTCACAACATTGAGGAGGCACTACTGGGAAAAAATGATATGGAGATCACAAAGATCTTCAGACTTGGGAAAAAACAAGAATCAAAAGAAGGAGAGTCAGAGCCAAAGCCAAGACTGCTGCTAGTAGGCCTGAAGAGGAAGGATGATGTTGATGCACTGATGAGCAAGAGGTGGAGCCTGAAAGAAGTAGGTTTCAGCAACATCTATCTGACAAGAGATCAGTCACCGGAAGAAAGGGCAGTCCAGCGGAAGCTCAGGGAAGAGTTGACAGAAAAAGGACGGGAGACGCACAGAGTGTTTCGGGGTAAGGTTGTCCCAAGAAACCAGTAGAGCTGTAAATGAAGGAAAATGTATACCAAAAGTAATGAAGTGTATGTATACAAACATTAACAGTCTAGCCAACAAACAGGATGAATTAAGATGCAGGGTAAAACACCTGGACCCAGACGTGGTTGGATTGACGGAAGTATGGCAAAAGGAAATGTTTAATATGGATGGTTACCATGTTTTGCGAATGGATAGGCCACTCACCCAAGTAGGTGGTGGTGTCATGCTATTAATACGGAGCAGCTTTACAGTTATTGAATGTAAAGAATTAAATGACAAGAACTTTCAAGAAGCCATATGGTGTTATATTCAACCATCGCCAGGAGTACGGATCCTTGTAGGGGTATGTTATAGAAGCCCAGTAAGCAGTATTGAGAATAACGAGAAGCTACTGGAAGTAATTGAGCAAGCTAGTAGAATGCCAGCAACATGCCTACTCCTAATGAGGGATTTTAATTTTCCAGAGGTTGATTGGGAAAGTGGAAGTGTTAGAGGGCCAGAGAATGCTGCACCAGCTATGTTTTTTGAGAAAATTCAGGATGTCACACTGTTCCAGCAAGTGAAGTTTCACACTAGGTTTAGAGAGGGTTGTCATCCATCAAGGCTAGATTTGATCTTCACCTCTGAACCTTTAATGGTGGATAATGTGAATAGGGAAAGTCCACTGGGTAAAAGTGATCATGTGACACTGACTTGGGACTTTTGCTATGGAAGTGTTCCAAAGTTGCATCAGCAAAAGGCTACCAAATTGAACTTTAGTAAAGGAAATTACAGAGAAATGTCAAGAGCCCTGAGTGAGGTTGACTGGGATATTATTGAGGGCATGAGTGTGGAAGAGGCTTGGGGTTATATTCTGGAAGAGCTGAACAAGCTGATAACTTTGCATGTCCCAAAAGTGACCATCAGGGCCAGAAAGAAACTGAGAGTACCATGGTGGCACAGTGGGCTGGAGAAGCAGGTGAAGCTGAAACACAAAGCTTGGAAGAGATATGTTGAAGCTGCAACAGCAGAAAATCATGTGAAGTATACACAACAGAGAAATACAACAACAAAGGAGATTCGTAAAGCAAAGCATTTATATGAAAACAAGATAACAGCCAGCCTTAAGGGAGGTTGCAAGAAGCTATATAGCTACATCAGAACACAACATAAGGTCAAGGCATCTGTTGGACCATTGAAGAATAAACATGGGGAGCTTACCAAGACAGACCAGGAAGTGGCTGATACCCTTCAGGAGTTTTTCACGATGGTGTACACAGAGGAAGGGAGTGCAGAGATGCCCACATTCCCTGAGCAATTGGATCCAACAATGGCTCTGTCAGACATTCAAGTCACAGAAGAACAAGTTCTGAAAGAGTTGAAAGGTCTGAAAGCCGAGAAGGCACCGGGACCTGACAACTTGGCCTCAGCTGTAATGAAGGGTTGTGCTGAGCAACTAGCCAGACCTTTCTGCTGTCTCTTTAACAAGACTTTGACCTCAGGCCAGTTGCCCCATGACTGGAAGAAAGCAACCATAACACCTATCTACAAGAAAGGCGCTAGGAGTGAGGCATGCAACTACAGGCCAGTGAGCCTCACTTCCCAGGCCTGTAAGGTCATGGAGAGAATCGTTAAGAAACAGATTGTACAACACCTAGAAGCGCATAGATTGGTAAGCAAGCATCAACATGGATTTGTCAAGATGAAGTCATGCCAAACAAACCTATTGGAAGCCCTAGAGGACTGGACAAGGATCTTGGATGAAAGGAAAGGGTTGGACATCATATACTTGGACTATCAAAAAGCATTTGATAAAGTTCCTCACAGAAGACTATTAAGCAAGATGAGTGCATATGGAATAAAAGGGAACTTACTAAGATGGCTTAAAGAATTTCTCGTTGGAAGACAGCAACAAGTCAGAGTCTGTGATAGCCGGTCAAAGTGGGTGAAAGTTACAAGTGGGGTGCCTCAAGGCTCGGTTTTGGGACCAATTCTGTTTTTGATTTATGTGAACGAGATTCCTACACTGGTGCAAAGTCAAGTCAAGATGTTTGCAGATGACTTGAAAGTATACCGGGATATCACCTCCGAACAAGACATCCAAGAACTTCAGCGAGACTTAGACATATTGGCTGGATGGTCAAGCACTTGGTTGTTAAGCTTCAATATCTCGAAATGCATGGTTATGCATTGTGGTGAAAACAATCCAAAAGGGAAATATTACATGAAACAAAATCAGGATTACAATGCACTACAGGAAACAAACCAAGAAAAGGACCTAGGAGTAGTGATTGACACCACTTTGAAGCCAACTGCCCAGTGTGCAAGGGCTGCAAGTAAGGGAACTTTTGCTCTGAAGCAGCTCAAAATGGCATTTGGGGCCATAAGCAGACAGAATTTCAATGTACTTTACAAAACCTATATCAGGCCACACCTTGAGTACTGTATTCAAGCAGTGGGTCCCTATATGGTGCAAAACTTTCAGACTTTGGAAAAAGTTCAACGCAGGGCCACCAAGATGGTTCATGGTATGAAGAATATTCCCTATCAAGAACGGCTCAACAGGCTCGGGCTTACAAGCATCAAACAGAGAATCCTGAGAGGAGACCTTATCATGACATATAAGGTCCTTACAGGGAAGACGAGGATGGACCCAGAGCTTTTCTTTGCAAGGACTGAGGACAGCAGAACAAGAGGACATCACCTGAAATTGACCAAGAAGAGAGTTACTCACAAAGCAAGAAGCCAGTTTTTCTCACAACGGGTCATCAACCACTGGAACAAACTGCCAGATGATGTTGTCCTGGCTCCATCAACAAACTCTTTCAAAGAGAGGCTAGACCAACACTGGGCCACAAAATCATCCTCAATGTGATCCAAATCCAGTACCCATGCTATGAAGTGAGCACCAAATAGACATTGGTCTAATCCTAGCTCACATCTATAAACCTAAACCTAACCTAAGCTCTACTGGTACACTGGCCGCATATAAGCTTTTCTCATCTGTAAACCGCGAGTTGCGAAATTTTGCCGCCAGATCGCAGTGTGATTACGAATCTAGTCTTATTGACAGGTCAAAGGACAATCCCAAACTGCTCCATTCTTATATAAGAAACAAGAAGACCGGCAGACCAGCGGTTGGTCCCTTGCTTTTGCAATCTGGTCACCATACTGATGATCCCACAGCTATGGCTGAGCTACTTGCAACATCTTTTGCCTCTGTATTCACCACTGTCACCCCCACTAACCCCTCGCCCCACCAGGCCTTCGACGGGACTCTCAGCCATGTAGAAGTATGTACAGAGAATGTTCGCCTTGCTCTCAAAGATCTCGACCCTAACTCTGCCATGGGCCCCGATGGAATACATCCACAGGTATTGAAGGAATGTGCCGATGACCTCGCCTACCCTTTACAGATTATATACACGAGATCACAGAGAGAGAGGGACGACTACCCTCTTGCTGGAAAAAATCCCTAGTTATACCTATTTTCAAGAAGGGCTCCAGGTTTGATCCACTAAACTATAGACCTATCAGTCTGACGTCTGTTGTGTGCAAAACGATGGAACGCCTGATTTGCACGCAGATACGTAATTACCTGGAAACGAACTCACTGCTGACCTCAAACCAATTCGGTTTCAGGACTGGCAGAAGTACAATGGACCAGCTGCTCCTAGCTTATAACACAGTGTCTAAAAACACGGACCTTGGTGGCGTGACTGACGTCATTCTCTTCGATTTCAGTAAGGCGTTTGATGTCGTCTGCCACGATCTCATGATAACCAAACTGAGATCGATTGGTTTGACAGGTGCTCTCATTGACTGGATACGTTCATTTCTCCAGGGCAGACAGATGCAAGTGTGTGTGAAGGACATGATAAGCCAACCTAGGGTTGTCAGCAGTGGTGTACCGCAGGGCTCTGTCCTTGGGCCCCTGTTGTTCCTGGTTTATATTGACGGCGTAGCATCACAGCTGAGAAGTGAATATAAAATTTTTGCAGATGACCTGAAACTTTATGCCTGTGTGAAACATGCCCCAGGAACCTCACCAGTGTTATCCTCTGCCCAAGTACAAAAAGACATTGATACACTGCAAACCACAGCAGCATCGTGGTGTCTGAAAATGAACCCAAAGAAATGTGCAGTTCTCCGCTTTGCGAGGCCCCGCGCTAACTTGCCTTCACCGGTGTACTTCCTTGATGGACAGCAAATCCCACATGTAGATTCTCACTCTGATCTTGGTGTTACTGTCGACTCGCAGCTTAAATTTCACGAGCACATTAGGACTGTTGCACACAAGGCTAGCGGTCTGGCCCATAGTTTTCTTAAGTCTACCGTTTGCAGGTCTCGCGCATTTATGTTGTTCTTGCTCACTACTCATATCCGACCTGTTATAGAATACTGTTCATGCTTGTGGCATACAGGTTATCTGAAAGACTTGCGGGTCTTAGAAAATGTTCAGAGGAAGTGGACAAAGCGAGTGGATGGAATGAATGGATTAAGCTATGCAGATCGCCTACAGTCCTTGAACCTGTATTCTGTCCAAGGGAGGCTCATTCGTGCGGACTTGATACAATGTTGGAAGCTGTTTAACGGTAGATCGTGCCTGAGTCCAGATGACCTGTTCGACCGCCCTCCACAGGATCGGACTAGGGGCCATTGCTTTAGGATTTTCCCCACTCTCACCCACACAGACACTAGAAAGCGCTTTTTCTCTGTCAGATGCATTGCTGTTTGGAACTCACTGCCTGAGGATGCTGTCCGTGCACCTAACATAGCTAGCTTTAAGAAAATGATTGAGGTACATGCACGTAATAGCCTGCTCAGATATGATTGAGGATGAGCAGTGCTGATTTTGTAAGTAGTTATAGGTATGTAGGTTATTTCCTCGTAGCTAAGCGTGTAGAAATGTGACTGCGTTCATCTGACGAGCTTGTGGAAGACGCACAATACCAGTCAAAACTCCCAGGACTAATGGTCAAGAATATCACAACTGGGCTGGCGCGTCTGGCATTCAGGGTTCCTTCCAATTCCTTTCGGTCCTTCCACCTTGCCTTTTCTTTCCGACACAAATGGGAACCCAACCAGGTAAGAGAACCAGGTAAGAGTTAAAGGAAACAGTCCACTTTCCTGAAATCAGTATTTTGCTATTGATTTATGATTTTTTATGCTCAAAATAATCATGAAATAAAATAAAACCTTTTTGTAAAAACAATTATTTTCTTTATTTTAATATAGGGCGAACTATATTCTATGTAAAATAATGTTTGACGCGGAAGCTTATTACGCATTGACCAATCATATTGCGTAGCTCAAACCTACGAATACTGCATTGGCTGTAAGCAGCACGCTGATTGGCTGACGATGACGTGGCTGCATTCCTGTGCAAGGCACGCATTCCTCTACAAGGCACTCTTTTCGGAACGAGAAATGGAATTTCTTCGTCTAAGGTGATCGTTGAGCCGTAAAAGCTCCTGATTTGTGCTAGTCTCAGCTCAAGCTACGAAACTGCTATTCCAGCTCAAAACCCCATGTTAAAAGTGAACTATTTCCTTTAAAAAGTGTAAGAAGTGTTCCTAATTGCGTTTACTTCTTTAAAGTATTGACGTTGCTGTACTCTATTTCCTGAAATGCATCTATACCCAGGTTAGGTCATGTGTTATCTTGAATGCATAGGTTGAAACTCACCAACCATCATAGGTAGGTAGGTAGGTGCCTACTGTTTTCCAGTGCCAGAAGTCAATAAAAGCATACCTAACTAAAAAAAAATTATCATGCCTACATGACAGCATGTGGTTCACCCCACTTACTGGCCACTAGCTATGGCTACTACCTCATTCGCTAACCACCACCATTGATAGGTGTACACTACAAACAGTTCGTAAATAATTTGAATTTAAAGTTGGCCTTTCAGTACCTACCAGAAGCTGATGATCAAATAAGCAGGCAATGGAACAGACTAGGTTGAGGTTAAGTTGTTCATTGCTTCTACCTGCAATCAAAAACTTAGCTAAAGCAGACTTAAAAGAAGCTTGCTAAGCAAATAACCAACATTTAGGTACAATTAGCATCTTGATATTTCAATGTAAAATTGTCATGAGTTAAGCAGGCATTTTTCTTTGTGGGTAAATTATCATATTCTAGTTTCATATTTTGTTCAGCTTACAAAGTCATAACTCATAGTCTTATCTCCAGGTACCAAATTAAAATGTTAGTAAAACTGATTCAAAGAAGGCCAAAGAAGGCATACCTAACACTTATCTCCAGGTACCAAATTAAAATGTTAGTAAAACTGATTCAAAGAAGGCCAAAGAAGGCATAACAGTATGTACTCTCTGTTACAACTTATGAATTGCAATCTTGATATATCTGTTTACAATATTTTTTCATTTATTGATCTTAATTGTTATCCCATCATGTCTCTGACAACAATAACTTGTCTGGAAAACACTCTAAACAAATATCTTGGGGTTCACAGGTAGTTCTTCTTCTGCAGGCCAGATGCCTCTTCCACAGGATTGTACCCATTTCATGTTCACTCCACAGTCCACAGCATGATTTCCTGGCCACTTCTCTTCACAGCAGTCAGGACAGTTTTCTGGACACTCCCCTTCACAGTACAGATCCTGACTGTGCCTCCTACACAGGATAGATCCCTGGACCAGGCACCAGCTCTCCACAGTTCCCTGGCTGCAGTCCTCTTCAAAAGGACAGAACCCTGGACCCTGTCCACACCTCTCCACAGTTCTTTGACCAGTGACCACGTCTCAGCAATAAGACAGCTCCCTGACCCCGCTTCTACCACGGACCATCCCTCTGACCCCTCGTTCCCCTCAGGCGGGCGCCCTGAGCGGGCCGCGCCGGGCTGGTAGCCGCCGCCGCCGCCGCCGCCGTCATGGAGCTGAAGGTGTGGGTGGACGGCATCCAGCGGATCGTCTGCGGCGTCACCGAGGCCACCAGCTGCCAGGACGTGGTGTACGCGCTGGCACACGCCACCGGCCGCACCGGCCGCTTCACGCTCATCGAGCGGTGGCGGAACAACGAGCGGCTGCTGGCGCCGCAGGAGAACCCGGTCAAGGTGAGGATGGTCAGCTGGGGGAATAGCTGAGCTGGATGGGGTGAGGGGCGATTGAAAGGAATGGAAATGGTTGAGGGGTCGTCCAAGACTTGGATTTGCTAATGCAATGTCTTGATTTAATTATTCATCCAATGTGTTTGTGCACTCGTAAATAGTCATAACATAAAACAAAACTTGAGTGCTTAGCATTATGTCCTCTTCCTTCAATTTTATTCCGATCGTTAGGACAGTCGAGACTATTTATAAACGGAATACAACTCGCTTCCTGCTTAGTTCCCGAATTGAAATGAGACAACAGGCTTGTTCTCAGTCGCGAAGATTTATCTTTGTTGAATAAAGATTAGCTTCGGGAATCGTCGTTTAAGGGCGTTTGTCAGACTCGAAAAAGCTGTTGTTTGCATGTTCTCGAGCAGGTCAACAGTGACTAGTTTGCTGTTATAAAAATTGTATATTGTTCACCTGGCTCATGATATGTTGCATGTCGTTAACAAAAAATGTCTAATGACAGGTAAAATAAAGACAAGGTCATACAATCTTACGAGCAATGAACCTGTTGGTGGGCATCAGGTCACCCAGGCCATTGTTCAACTACGGTTGTTAAGCCGGCTCACAGGCCGTATTATATACCGTATTATATCCCGTATTATGTACCGTAAAGCCCGTGGCCTGCCACCGGTTTCGGGTCTGACTACCTCGCCCTGCTGTTTCGCCAGGTGCTGATGAAATGGGGCGAGTACTCGAGTGACGTGCAGTTCATCCTCTTGCGCTCGCCGCTGGAGGCCAAGTCTCCGTCTCGCGCGCGCCGCTCGGGCCGCTCATCCCGCGGCCCGTCCGAGCCGTCTCCGCCGAGTCCCGACACTAGCACGACAGTGCTGTCGCCGGAGCTGCAGCGGCGCCGCTCCGAGCTGCGGCTGCTGGAGCACGTGAAGCGCGGCACCGTGGGCGTGGTGCGTGGCGTGCAGCAGCGGCCCGCCGACGAGCCGTGGCCGCCGGCCGGGCCGGCCGCGCCGCCCCCTCCGCCGCCCCGGCTGACCGACAAGCCGGGCCTGAATGACAGCGTGTCGAGCGCCGACACCAGTCTCAATACTAGTCACGACCGGGTTCCGGGTCTGCGACGGGCCGGCGAGGCGGCACCGTCTCCGGGGCCGCGGTTCAGCACGCCGCCGCCGTACCGGGACCCTCCGCCGCCGGCGGCGGGCCGGGCGGGGCCACGCCGGCCGCCGCCCTACCGCGAGCCGCCGCCGCCGCCGCCGCCGCCGCCCGGCCGGAGTCCGTCCGGCAGCGGCAGCAGCCAGTCCAGCAGCCCGCTGCGGCCGGCGCCGCCGCAGCCGCCGCCGGCCGCGCCCCTCTCTAGTCAGATCCCGGATGGCTCCGGCACTCCGCCCGGACACCCGGCAAAGGTGAGCAGGCATCAACGGCGACATGAATGAACGGATCGAGAATATGCTGTTGCATCTACTTCTTATAGCAGCAGATTGGTAAACATTAAGTTTCAGTCAGTCATTTTCGCTCATTACTGGATGTTTTTTTATTATATGGGTAACCATAGCTCGCGAACTTTCATGAAGTTGCTATCCGTGCAGTATGTGCTCAGCCAGGTCAGCAGCTATTCATTTTTCCATGGCTGACCTTTTTCGAATTCGCGTCTTGCGCATGCGATGCTTTCTAGCAAATTGTCTTCCTTTCACCATTCGTCCTTACTGCTACGTAAAAAGCGTTATCGTACTTCTGCTTTGTTCGGCCAAGGTTTCATGGTCGTTGGTTGCTGATAGGAAAGAAATCACCGTATATAGAGAATGACGATATTCGTATTTGGCCGACCTTTTGTTTGTGCGATATTCTTACAATGAGTGGCTTAACGTTCTATGCATATGATAAATAGTGATGCGCATTACGCACGGTACGGATACCATGTCATGCAAGTTGTAATGCCCGGTAGCAAATGTCCGCAACTTCAAGCTGCATGAATAAGGCGGTTTCATAGGTAGAAAGGTAATCGTGCCCATGAATAGGTAAATATGCGTTCCTCAAATTCTCTATTGCTCATAGCCAGGCGGCTTGCCGAGAATTGGCCGAGCTGCACCATTTCTGTGGTTAAGTTTTAATACATGCGATGCACTATGCCCAGTATGACGTGATGCTTGTACTATCAGGAGCGACACTCCAGTCATACTCGATGGGCTGGTTTTGGGTTGAATCACCCGACGGCTCTTTGGCTAATATTGTGTCGACAACGCGGGCCATGTGAATTATCTTTCCGATCGGCATCCCTGCCAGCAGGAATCAGGCCAAGTCTACATTGAGCCATCAGATAACGGATTCAGAATATACTTAGTCTAAGTAAGCCAGAACGCCGACTAGGTGGATTTTCCCGCTGATTAGCTGTAATTTGTCTTGATTGGTGCTGTATTTTTATGATTTAAACTAAAAACACGATTGATGCTTCTGGCTATTTGGATTGAGCAAGTATTAAAGAACTTAATTTTAACGACAAGCGGACACAGCTCGCTTTCTATTCTCATTATAGGTACGTACATTCGTGACTCATAAGGTTGCGTGACCACCATGGTCCAACACGATGTGTCCACCTTTGGATCATCCCCCCACGGCTCGTCTCGACGAATGTTGGTCGTGTTTGTCTCCTCCTTGATAAGTCTGATCTGTGCGCGCAGGGGCGCGGGCCGGGCCGACGGCTCGCCACCGACCAGTATGCCATGGAGGAGGTGGTCTACAACAGTCAGTACCGTGAGCTCCTCTCGGTCGTCAACGCGCAGAAACACCAGCTCAGCTCGCTCCAGGCCGACGTCACAAAGGTGCGTGACGTCATCGGGTGAACAACTGGTGCTGCCAGACAGTGTTTCATTTTTCAGCCTTTTTAGTGGCAAATCACACCTAATGGGGAAAATATTTTCATCCCTAAAATATGAATGACTGACTTTACTTCATCTCTGAAAAGAGTTTCATGTATTCCCAACAGCCAGTTCACTTGTCACTTGACAGTTGATGCACCCACATCCTTTTGTTTCACACCCTGTCAAGATCCTGACATGAAATCCTGGTTTATCAGTTAGCATAAAAATTGGCATTACACCATTTTACAAAAATACTGCAGTTATTTACTTTCTTTTTTCTCATCCTAGGATTTTTTTTTTCTTCATCGGCACACCCAACCAATATCCAATTTTAGAACACTGCTGCCAGATGGACGGGCGTGGGGCGTAACGAGGATGTTGGTGTGGGCAGGATGGGTATGACTGACCAGACTTTGAACGGAGTGATCATTTGGGGTTTGTGGGCTGTCTTATGGAGCAACTCTTGGTCAGACATAGGTTTTTAGCTACGTTAACACGCGCACCGACGGGGGGCGGATATCCGCCCCCCCCCCCCGAGGTTTTTCGCGGATAGCGGGAAAACCCGCCGCGAAATTTGGTACGACTATTCTCTCATCAATTTTACACATGGTGTGCAAGTTTGAATCTCCTAACTTTGAAGGTCAGGTCACCAGGTCACTTTGAATGACCCAACCTCAAGTCACTTTTTTGCAACTTTGTCACCGTGCCAGAGCTACAGTAGATTTCAGAGGCCTTTGAAAGTCGCAGGATGTTATAAGGTCATTAGTAGCTACAATTTGTATGTCTCGGAATTTTGATGTCGGTGACCTAAGGTCAGGTCAATTTCGCGACCTCCCCATTATAAGTCAATGGAGGAAAAATCAACTCCCTGTTTTTACCACTAAAACGGGTCGGAATGGCCCCATATACCATACATGACTTCATATACGATCAACCTTCACTACCTTGAGGTCTGTTTTGCTGTTGGGCAGCTGTAAGGTCATGTGACGTCATCAAAGGTCACCAAAGGTTTTTTGCCAATAACTCCGTACAGGAACAAGATACAGCCGCGCGGATGGTCTCATTGTGTTCAGCTCGTCAAGACGCATCAAATGATATACATGATGACCTCGAGGTCACGTGACCTGAGGTCAACCTTTGACCTTGACCTTTCGAGGTCAACATATATATCATTCGATGCGGATTGACGAGAGGATCACGATGATGCCCTTAGTTTGTTCCTATCATGACTAATTCGAAAGTTATTCGAGGAAACCTCTCTCCTTATCTAGCGCCGCCATTTTGACTTTTTCGACCCCTGTGACGTCATCTTTGACCTGACCTGAAAATGACCTTAGTAAAAATTGTAGACCTTGTCCGTGCGTATCCGATGCCGTTTACCGCTTGTCGCTATCTTGCTTCGTTCTCGAGATCTCAGGGGGGGGGGCGGTCATCCGCCCCCCCCCCCCGTCGGTACGAAGTTGGCGCAGACCCCCGTCGGTGCGCGGGTTAAGGGATAGGGGGTCGGCTGGTCCTAAGGATAGCGAAGATTGATGTCTCATTGGACCTTCCCAAAGTGCCAGTGACTGTCAGTGAAGAACCAACAGCATGTGTCATAAACATATCAGAGAGTTGGTCAGAACCGCCAGTGTCGGAGGACTGGACTGTCGTTCAGAGCTCCCAGCGTACCCAGCCGCCCCCCCCCCTCCCCCCACCGGGAGGGGCTACCGATCGTTCCGCCGGTGTGGAACTGGGCCAAACCGACGGTCGGCTCGGCCTGGCAGCGGGCTATTTCCGAGTTTAGAGCGCGGCCGGTGACCGGTGGCCGTCACGGGGGCGCGGGGATGGATAGGGTGGGTGGAGGTGCGAGGGTGGAGAGGATAGGTGTAAGGATGACCCGTCAGAGCTGCGTCTGGAGGGTAACATTGGTCATTGACGTCTGTTGGAATGATCTGTTGTAGCTAGGAGGTCAGCTGTGCTGGAAGATGTTATTTGAGGCTAGCGCTGACGGTATGGCAACACACAACAGTTGCGCATTTATCGCCCAGATTGATTGAGTTATGCGGTCGGTATTTGCCAATCGGCGGCTATAATGAGGATTCCAGATCCTACACGATTGTTAGACCTCCTTTCGCATTCAAAACACACTAATTCATTATGGAATGAAGTGTTATGATAGTCATTAAAATAATAGTTTTTTTTTTGTACACAGCTGCCTTCTTAGCCAGTCCTTCTCCCGGCTCTTGCTCCGGCTCTAGGCATCGCTGCATTCCCGCTGGTAGAAGCTGATATTGCTTTAATCGAGAGCAGAAAATGCTCGGCTCAAACCGCGTGCACTGTCACGCACCTATGAAATGACACATTCCACGCCGGCGTGCTCCCGCGTCGCTCCGTGTAATACGAACTGCTTGAATCCAGCGCATTCCGCTCCGTACTGCGTGGTGGTTAACCATGTGATACAATTTTTTTTTCTTCGAAACTGTGAATGAAACTAAAGCAGCCTGGACTAATGATGCTGTCTTTTCTTCGATTTTCCCGTGGAAGAATGATCTTTAATTGTGTCGCCGTTATCGACGCGTCCTTATGTTGGTGTAAGCGTTGACAGTTGTGTTTAACCGGCTACAACATTTGGAATTAATCGTCTACATGACGCGTGTCACGTATATTTTGACTTCACAGCCGGTGAATAATGACGTCACTGTTCCTGTATTTCAGTGTGACGCCGAGATTGTGTACCTGGAAGAGTTTCAGCGAGAGCAGGACGTTCAACTGTCAGCCGTTCGCTCCGAGGCCAGTCGCCTCGAGGCGCTGCTGGCGGAGCGAAATCAGGAGGTAAGAAGTCCCACCAATCACACCGTTCACTTCTTGACGAATACATTCAATCGTCATTGCTACCATGAAGTCTTGTTTTATCCTCGGAGGATGCTTCAGCTCACGTCCTGCCGACTGCCACCTATCCTTATGCAACGAACGGTTCCCCGCGAACACTAGCCCTGTCACATCCCCTCACACTGACGGCAGCGGCAGCCAGCCCCTGGGCCAGTTCCCCGTGGTTTGATGTGGGCTATACCATGACCTGCTCTATGGATGCTGGCCAGCCGACTGTTTTGTGATGCGTCATGGGTCAGCTGGTACACGACTGAGCTGGCGGTCGGCTCGCATGCCGCTTGTTTAGCTGCGGTTTCACGTTGCACACAGACGAGGCACAGCAGCAGTTCCGTGTTGGTTGTTTTGATAGTGAGTTTTCCACTGCTTTAGGGGCCTGAGAGAGGGAGGTGGAAATAGTATGTTTGTCGGCGGGTTTAGGGGATTGGTGGAGGTGTTATTGAGGCCAGCAGTGGGGTCAGGGGGTACCGATTTACGTGGTGCACTTGGCGCGGCGTCCAATGCGATATCCGGCCTACAGGTGGAAGGAACTGCGTCGTATGTGCTACGCATTAGCTTTTTGTGTCGGCGTCTAGCATGTGCTGCGCCTCTTGTCATCGCCGTTCGCTGGGTTTCAATACCAGCCTTTTGCTTCACTTAACACTCGCATCATTTTACACCAAACTGTGGCATTGTCCTGTCTCTCAAATCCCGTGCGCTTGCCTGCACTCTCACCACAGAATGTCTCCTTCCCAAGCCCTCACCCCCTCTTGTGACCATGTCTGACTGAGTTCCCTTTGGACAGATTGCCGAGGCAGAGGAGAAGGCAGAGGAGTTGAGGAGGGAGTCCGAGGAGGGAGAGAGGATCAAGACCGAGAGTGAACAGCTCAAGGAGAAGTTGGCTACATGTGAGACGGAGCTGAAGACGTACTCGGAGAAAATACGGTAATTGGTGACCGAATGACGAAGTGACAGCTGTGCATGAGAGATAGATGATCCGTCCCTGGCTCACGGGTCTTATGAATTTGCGTAATATTTGCTATGAATTAAACTTACATTGGGATAAACTGTTCGGCGTGTTTTCGGCTCGTAAGATGTCTCTTCGTTGCCTTGAGTCTTTAGACCGGAGTAAGGTCTGGCCCGGCAAGTTCAACTGACTACCACTAAGGTCTACTCCCTCCAAAATCCGCATACCCGCCGGAACGGAATGACCAAAGGCGTGTCAGACCTTGGGACTGTCACCTTATCCCGTCCTCTTCCATGGGTCGATATCATCTGTGCATCATGTCACGCTGCTCAGCTCCCACCACGATTACCAACTAACTCCGGCCCTTCTTCCCCTCCCGCAGGGATCTGGGCGAGTCTCTGAAGTCGGAGCAGGAGCGGAGCGACCAGGAGGCGCAGCTGACGCAGCAGCAGCTGGAGCAGCTGGCCGCGCAGCTGTCCGCTCTCCAGGAGCAGTCGGACCGCACCGAGACGGAGCGCGCCGACCTGGAGACCCAGATCGGCCAGCTGGGAGAACAGCTGCTGGAGCGACAGCGGCGAGTCGAACAGCTGCTCGAGGAACTGAAGACGGTCAACCTGGAGAGCCTGCGCATGTCCGGCACCGAGGAGCTCGCCAAAGTCACCGAAGGTGAGAATCGAGGTACCTACGGTTGTTTCCACAGTCACTGGTTGATGAGCTGATGTGACAGTGGTGGTGCTTATGGTTTGGAATGGTTTGGATTATCGCTTTATTTCTGATATGGTTAGAGAGGAATCCTGTTGGTGTTAAGGACATTGCAGAATCACAATTTAAGTTTGAGAAGGCCATTGTTTAGTGTACTTTTTGGTTTCGCCTTGCCAAACCTGGCGAAGGTATACCGCGCAGTGTTGTACTCATCCACCAGCCTGACGTGTCCCTGTGTGCTTCCCGTGTCTCCAGGTCCGGCCAAGTCGGGTGTGAGTCGGCAGCTGATCGGCTCGCCGCGTCAGCTGGAGAGCGCCGTGCCCACCAGCAAGAACCCGCACGGCGTCTGGGTCTGAGGGGCACCCTCCCCCTCCCGAGGGGCGCCCGACCCCTCCCAGGGGCCAGGGAGGCTACCCGGCCGCCCGCCAGCGCCCGCTACTGCTTACTGTTCCTGCGTCTAGAGTTTGCCACATATCGACGCCCGCTGCCGCTAGATATTACCGCTTCCGCTCACTAATCGCTCGCTGTTTGGATGTTGTGCGCTGTCGGACACGCTTCAGACGCCCCTTTCTGTCGACGTGGATGTGGCGCTGCTTTGTTGTTCGCGCATATCCGTGCCCGCGCTTTTTGGCGTCGTTGCCGCTTTTCGCTGCTTGTGCTGCTGCTTGAATCTTATTTTCGACGTAGCTTTAGGATCTTGAACGGTACGCACGCCGTTTTGAAACCTAGTACAACATTGTTTGGTTGTTTTCTTGCCTTGACCCCGACTTAGTTTACGCTATTAGTTTTACGCCCTGCCCTGTTGGTCGTGTTTCGTTGTGAGGTCCGCCGCTGGGCGAACACCCCGAGTTGAGCGACAGAACTGTTACCAGATACGTATTTAAAGCATGGACACGACGTGGTACGATCTTACGTTTACATTATATACAATAGCCGATAGGTCTGAGTAGTAATCTTCACCATTGTGTGTGCGTGTTTAATTGACAGATCAACGTCGTATTCTGTACAGATGCCTACTATGCCGAGTTTTTAGTCGATTTGAGTTGTGTGTTTTAGCTGAGCAAGTATTGCATGTCAACCTATGAACAATCATTATAATCTGTGTTTGAATTCAGGGCTTATTTTAGCGTTTGCACGCCTTCAATTGTGTTTATTTACTTGGTAGCTAGCTCGCCCCCCAGTGTACATTTGTTTACCGGCGCGTGCCATATTGTCGGCCGGTGCCCCCACTGTGCGCCGGCTCGGCCGTGCTGCTGTGTTATAGACGAGGCAGCGCGTGTGCTGTGCTTCAGCTCAGAGTCTGCGGAGGGTAACTAACGCGCCAGACTGCCCCGCTGCGGGGGTAGAGGCGAGCGTGGGGTGTCTTCTGACAATCAAACGACGGCCCGGTCCGCCCCCGGGGTGACCGAGAGAGGAGAGAGGGCGGGCCGGGGAGAGAGTGAGAGGATCGGCTGAGTGAGAGTGGAAGTTTGTGCGCCTATTTGCGATGGTAATATACAGAAGACGACTTAAGCGAAATTTTTGTGGAGGTCGTGCGGATGACCGGACAGTTTTCTTTGCAGCTTCCCGAGAGCAAGGTTTTCTCTGATTTGAGAGCCATCCTGTGTTGCGGTTCCCGATTGGGGAGGATTGTCGATTGATGGGTTGTGCATTACGACAGAGGTTACTTATGTGGCTTGACGGAGCCCACCTATTGCGTTTCTTCAGACTTCCTTTCGAGCATCGGCGAGCGCCAAAAACCAACCCTAAATTGGGACATAAACTAGGACTAAGGAGTTAAACCCAAATGTCATGCCATCAGAGTCCTAATATTTGTAGGCAGAACATACTCGATAAAAAATGTCCGAGATTCAGTTTATTTATCTCTAGTAGCGAACTACCTACACCACAATTAGTACATCATTTACAAATGTTGCAACGAAGTGCAGCTCGACCTTTGGTATCAGGTCACTGGATCTCACCCAATTCGTAGCAACTCACGATGGCAACCTCCTCTCACAAACCTTCACGACACATGTCTTTTGGCGTGCACACGGCAATAACACAACGCCGAACCATTAACGCCATTAACTACACTCAGACTGGAGCCGAAACTCGTGCCAACGCACCACTGGCACTTACCACCTGGCGAGCATTGCTGTAACCCCTAGTGTGCCTACTTGCGTACAGAGGCGCTGCTGTAGACCCAGGTCCGCCAAGGACGGATAAATTAGCCGTCTATGTCGTCTAGCTCAAACGTAGACTGACGATCCATAGCTCGTTCGGACATAAGGAAAACTCGTCCGCCTCCACTACCCAGAAAAACAGATGTTCTCAAAAACAGAAGAACTCCATTCTACCTGACTCAAACATTGCACAGGATTCTGATGCGTGTGGTAGTGCCGGCGCTTGGCGCACTATTGGTCTCGTTTCGGTCACCCTACAATAGCCGTCAGAATTAAGTCTGAAAGACCAGCCTCCTATACGTAGAGTAATCTCTTAAGCACGCCAGCCGGTCATTACACTACCTATGAAACACATGGGCTGAAACCGATATGGACAACAGAAAACGCACATTAAAAACACCTATAAAACATCACATCTACAACGAAAATGCTACAAAAAGTCAACGCCAAGACTACGACGACAAAGGATTCAGCTCCGTCAATTTGTTCACAGTCTCGCGCTGAGATATACAACCTCTCGACTCGCACTCGAGAAAAGTTCGTGAGCGTGCTGCCCACCAGGCATCTGGCAGACCTGGCATCAAATAGCATTCACGCGGCACTAGAGGTCACAATCCAAAAGGAAAAACGTTGCCTGCGAGTATTGACACTATGAGCATTTCTGCCGGCGGCTCGTTGCCGACTATTCCGGTTCTGCCACACGGCGCCACAGGCTGGTGCCGCCGGTACCCGCGGGCGGCCGACCGACCGCCCCTCCCTGCTCCGGTAAAACGCCTCCGCCTGCACTCCTGACCCGTTCTCGCTGTCCGTCCCACAGTATTGCACGTTACGCGGCTCCGCTCTCACGCGGTGAGAACAGCTGCCGCTCTCACAGCCGCCAGCCGCCGGCCTGCTCACATGTGAGCGCCGAGCGGCCGCACTTGGCCCTCTCTACCAGAATCCGGCTTATAGAGCGCTACCTACCGAGCCGCAGCCTGCCGTCCCGCCCATCCGCTGACGGTCCTACCACTCGCGGCGCGGTGCTGTACCGCAGCGCGCCGGCGGACCCACCGCGGCCCGGCCGGCGCAGCTCAGTCGATCGGTTCGCTCCACGGATGCTCGACACGCCCGTACTGTATGTCGGAGAGAGTGCTGAGGATCCGGTGGGCCAGCGAGGCGTCTCCGTCCGGCGTCGGGATGACAATGTCGCGGTCCATGTACCGCACCCGCTCCACGGGACAGACGACGCAGGCCGTACCGGCGCCGAACATTTCAATCACCTGCCGCCAGAGGCGCCACCGTCAGCCGGACCGTTCAGCGAGGCCGCGCACGGGCCGGGGTTCGAGGGATCACGGGACTTGGGGGCTGGCAGAGTGAAGAAGAGTGTTTAATAACGGTATCCATACGGTAACTAATGAATTAAAAAAAAAATGCACACCTCCGGCCACTCGATTACATGAACAGCTCGCGACTCTGCTTCATTATTCCCATCAGACGTCTACAACTTAAACATTCCATTCACAGCCTGACTCCTCCCCTCCTTTTTTCCATTCCTCCCTCTGATTTCTCCCCTCTCCCCCTCGGACTTACCCTGCCCTGCTCGGACGCCCTGACGAACTCTCCCATGGTGAGGCGGCGCTCAGAGACGGTGAACTCTCCCCACTGGCGCGCCAGGTCCAGGATGCTGCGGCGCGTCACTCCCGGCAGGATGACGCCATCCAGAGGCGGCGTAACCAGCTCCCGGTCACCCTGCTCGGTGGTCAGGAAGCAGAAGATGTTCATGGTGCCCACCTCGGTGATCTCGTGGTCCTCTCCGTACAGCCACATCACCTGCTGGAGGTCCTGCTTCTCGGCTACTTTCTGTCGGCATAGCCAGAGAAAGAGGGATTTTGTCACACGGCTGAGCCTGAACGGATCATTAGGGGTGCGACTTTTTACATATATGGGTGGCTTCAGATGGGTTGACGACACAACCGTAGAGGGATCTGACCAAGGTCATATCAAGTGGACAGCCTTGAACCAGGCGCGACAAATGTTAAGGATACATAGCTCAAAAGGGCATGGGTAGGCAAAAAAGATGGAAAGCTACGTTTGAGTTACATAACCATGCGCGGTGTACCGTCAGCCTTGGTAAAATACACATAACAATATAAACACAGATGGATTACACCAGCGAAGGATTACACAACATCTGTCATCGTCAGTGTTTTATTTTTCTTCAGGAACTGCAGGTACACGCCGCTTATCAGTAATGAGCATACGTCGTCTGACTTTGACGTTGTTAGTCATTTCGATCCGCGTAAGATAGCCATCATTCTGAATAGAATGCGTTCGAGTTGTCATTCCTGGTTGAACATTCTTAAACGGAACCAAGTAGATTTGAATGTGATGGAGCAAAACAAATCGAGCTGAAATCAGTGCCAAATGAAGTGTTTCAAGTGCCAGCTTTGCACGTCGTAAAATGAAAGTCTAGCTGAGAGTCTCACCACGAACCACTTATCATCAACTGAGAGCTCTGTCAACAGTCTGCATCTTCGTGCAAACTACACCGCCCTTTCACATCCTGCACAACCCTCCCACTCCGCCCCGCCGTTCCGCGGTGAACGGCAGGGCCCGCGGGCAGTGTCCCTGACCGTCTGACCACTCGGCTCCCCGGCCACATCACGCCACCTCCTGGCCCCGCCCCTCCCGTCCCCTCCCCCACCGGGGGTTGGAGGCTCGTCCGGACGAGCCCACCGGACCGCTGCCAACTGGCAGAGTGCCAGCTAGCTACATCGACCGGGCCCGGCCCCCGGTGCGCGGCCGTGTCTGATCCCAGCCGCCACGATCCCAAAGGTGTGGTGTGTGTGTCAAAGTCACCGGACTCTGAAGTAGAGGTCACCTCTGACTGAGTCAACATCCACAAATAGAAACGATTTTCATCATGTCGATTAAACTCGTTGCGTGCTTGAATAGCATGGTGATGTCATTCAGCAGTTTGCAGCATCTTCGCACTTAGGATGACCCATGCAACATGCAACAGTGATCTTGAGACATTGTTTACTCTTGATCGAAACTCGCATATGCTCGTATACCACCAACATCACTACTGTAATGTCGTGGCATGCCAATTGCCAACCATATACACTAAGTACAAATGTTTCGAAAGCGATCTGTTTAGGCCTTGGGGCGTAACGTATTGCGCAGGTCACCTGAACAGTAGGGCTATTGCGCAGGTCGCAAACAGTACTTTATCTTCCGCCTGACGAAACAATATCGACCGTCAAAGGCAATATTTAAAAGAAAGCTTGACGTGGCCACATAGCCGGATACCTGCATAACATCTCGGCCAATCCGGGGATCAACAACATGGTATCTTCCTGTGTAGATTCATCTGGCCATGTAATTGAGCTCTGTCGCGATAGCGCGTCAACGTCCATCTCCGAAGCGCACCAGAGCTACTGCCTACGCAGTACCGTCCGGCCCATGGGTAAATCTGTACTCCCCCGGCTGCAGATATGGCCGGGAGGCCAGGTTATTTTCAGTCAACGATACGGCGCAAAAGCAGCTTGCAGGACTGGATGTGAGGTTTGGATGAGACATTACAGTAAAACTACATAGCGTTAACACGATATTGTGTCCGCGTTATTGGTTTCAAATAACTGACATGCACTGTATCAAAACCTATCTAAGGAAGCGAACAAACCTGTAAAGAAAATCCTAATATCCATCGTATCACCACCGAGGGTCTCATCAACATCATCAACAGCGACGTATCATCAACAGCGACGTCGCTTCGCAAACCAAGCACAAACTATGAAAATGTAGGTCACCTTCACAGCGAACTGGGCAAAATATCACAAACTGCATCGATCTTGACATAACAAATCACATCTCGTGCCCGAGACACCGCACCGTACCACAGTTTACCATTCATACCAGCAACCTCAACACCCTCGACCACAAGGAACCCAGGTTCGCACGGGATCATTGACAGAACCCAGTGGACGTTATACACATTTACTCATTGACCTCACATATGGCAGCAAATTCGGCTGAGGCGGTACAGGACGACTCTGATGACCCGAGAGTCCATGCGGAGGAACAAGGGATGGACCTCAGTCGTGTCAGAGCCGCCTGGAAGGCTGCAGGCTGGTTAGAGGAGCGACGGGACACCAGACACCCAGGTAAGGACGCTATAATGTACCTGAAGTAGGACGATGTGTCTCGAAAATAATCACAGATGCTGGTGTTTTTTTTTATCTCTTTGAACTTGCTGGATAAGAACTGGTCTTGTCCGATACGGTCAACCATATCTTCATCGCAAATTTTGACGCCGTAGGTCTTATCCGTGGTTACCACTGGCCACGATAATATTCGTCCATGGAAGTCATAAGTCAGAAGCATCTGAACATAGCTTAACGTCTTCAAACAACTTGTTAGGAAGCGGCTGAATTAAGGTCAGTTGGCAGAGGTCTCTCTCCACCTCGGAGCTATCATTAGGTCCCTTCTCTCTGTTGTCAGCCGGGGAAGGTCCGGGAACTCACTCCCAGCCAAGCACCAGTCTGCCACTGTGGACTAAATATACGCACGGCGTCTCGCCAGTTGCCAGGCGCACCATCGTCGTTCAGTCCCTAACCCCAGACGCCTTCTTTGACAGGAGCTAAGAGCGGAAGCCGCAATGGCAGCGGCAGTAACAGCGGTGGCCGCTCCGCTGCTTCTGCTGGCGTTCTCTGCGCTGCTGAACGACTCTGATCTCCCAGACCCCGGTGGAGTCCCGTCTTTCGCCCATCTCTCTCCCGAGAAGGTTTTACACGAGGTCCTCGCCTCCCAGCGCTCCGTCGAGGGCGAAATCACGTTCCGCCTGCGCCGCGTCATAGCCGAGCGTTTCATTGGCATAGCAGTATCCCACCTGCGCCGCATCTCGCCGCTGTTCGCCGGAGCCACCGTGGAACACGACGGCGGCGCGTACGAGCACACGCGCGTCTCAAACGTCGCCGATTTCGACATGTACACGATGCTGAGCGCGGAGCCGCTGCGCCAGTTCGACCTGCGCGGTGACGGTAAGGGTGGGTTTGTGGTACAGCTCCGCCCCGGCGCGGACCGAGACCATCTTCCCGAGGACCTCGTCCACATGCTGACAGTAGACGGCCGTCTGGACGCAGAGAAGTTCCACGCGTGGATGACCGATCGTGTGCTGTACGCGCTCCGAAAGGCGGCTGAAGAGCATCCCGATCTGCGTCCGGTGGTGTACCAAACACGAGGCGCGCCCGGGGTCAATCTGACTGACTACAGCGGAGCTAACATCGAGGTGGACTTGACCGCTAAGCTGCCGGTGCCACCCGCTGGGGACGCTGTGCTCCGACTGGCGGCTCTGCGGCCCTGTGGTACGCCGCTGGTTCCGCCCGGCGGACAGCCCGTGTGGTACCTGTACCCGGGCCCCGGGCGCAGCGGAGGGGCGGAGAGTTTCAGCGCCAACGCGCCACGGCTCGAGATGGTTCTGTTGGAGACCCAGCCGCTGCTACAGCGGGTCATCAGACTGCTGAAGACACTAAGCAGCGTCCACGACTGGCACGACCGCTTCCGCGCCTCCTCGTTCCAGCTGAAGCAGGCAGCGTTCTGGTGGCGCGAGGAGCACTGCACGGAGACGCGCCTGCTGCCCGCCTCAGTGGGCGTTCTCCGGCGGCTGAAGGAGGCACTGCGCGCCCGACGGCTGGAGCAGTTCTGGTTCGCAGTGCCGACCGAATACAGACTGCGGGAGGAGCTGCGAGCGGCTCAGCTGGCGGACGAAGTGGCACGGTTTGTGGAGGTGCTCATCAGCGGAGACGCCGCCAGGGTTCGTCAACTCTTCGGTATGTAAAGGGTCCGTGGATGGACATGGACGGCGCACTCCACATGAACTCTTTTGTATACAAGCTCCGAGATCGAGCCCATTTACGGTAATGAACGGAAAGAACGGAATGCAATCCGTGCGAAGAACCAAAAAAGGAGGAAAAGAGGATGCCGTTGATGCCATTATTCGATACTCGATAGAATACAATCCAGCCTCAAACGCCAAAGGATGCTTGCAAGAAATACCGAAAATGTATAATAAAAAAAGACACATACTCATCACATTTTTTAGTCCATTCAGCAGCAGCACCAGTTTGTACCATTAGTAGTTTCAGTTATCAGACACAGTCCCTCCCGACCCCAATCACTGACCTGCACCATAACGGTGGGCGCGTAGTTGGCCCCCATCTTGGCGAAGCCGCAGCCGCCGCGCCACGCGCGGATGTACGCCGGGTCGGCCAGCAGCGAGACCGGCTTGAAGCCCGAGGCAAAGTACGGTCCGACCGGGCCGAGGATGACGTACAGCACCGCGTTGTTGGACGCCGAGACACCCAGTGTCGGCTGCCGGGTAAAACAGTGGCCAGTAAACGAATAGCTGGTGCCTGTCGAATGCATATAACTTGGCTGTCACTAAACAGTGAGTCTCAGTTATCATCAAGAAGGCATGTACCTAATCAGCCGTCTGCATTTAATTTCTACCAGCCGTATATTCGAACTAGCCTCAAAGCCTCAAAGCTCTCAACGATATAGCCTCAAAGACCACTGGCCCCATTCTCCACTCATTCTCAATACTTCTATCCCCACCACATTACGTCCTTTCCGTTTGTTGTTGGGGGTTAGGGACGCACCGACTGTAACGTCATTTTGCGCCATCACACCCTTTCCCTCGCCCTCACTCACCTCTGTGCCGATAAGCGTCGGCCGAATGTAGAGACTGGAGGCGGTCGAGTGGGGCACCCACTCCTGGTCGATGGCCACCAGGCGTTTGATGCACTTGGTGAGCTCGGCTCCGTCAAAGTTGGGCAGCACCACCCGCTGTGCCGTGGCGTTCATCCGATCCATGTTGAGCGATGGTCGGAAGAGGCGGATCCGACCGTCCACACCCCGGTACGCCTTCATACCCTCGAACAGCTGGGGACGGAGACGGAGAGCGGGGTATGAGACGATAAAAATACTACTGGTTTCAAGGTAAGCAGGAAAGGTAAGTTACAACTATATGCCGGCCTTGATGAGTCACACGACGGACATGCAACAAACTGGGCATAAACACCCCAGTGAGGACTGAGGAATTGTAATGAGCACACCCAAAAATGTTTCTCAATAATTGATCATGGAAACCGGACCGATTTTCAACAGATTTGTTCTTCCATACCAATTTACACAATGATGCATACAACAGGTAGCACCACAGTTATCAGTCACCACCCACTGGGTACAACCACCGCTGAAGTCCGCACAGCACCTACCTCAAGGGCGTAATGAAGGACCTTGGCGGCCGGGTGGATGGCCAGCGGCTGGAGGGGCGTGATGCGCGGGTTGGCCCAGCCCTTGGCCGCGCACCAGTCAATCGTCAGCATGTGATCGGTGAAGTGCTTGCCGAACACCAGGCTGGAGACGGGCGGCTTCGGCTTCAGCTGGTCCGGCGTGGCCAGCTCCATGTCCATCTCCTCGAACTGGGGACAAGGCGCAGAGAGGACGTCAGGGGACAGCACTGGAGATGTTGAAGGGTTGGACTGATGACGTCAGGTCAGGGGACATGATTGGTGACGTCAGATTTAAGTAGAAGGTGTTACGGAACCAAGGAAGTCAGATAACACTCACATAAATGTGTCACCTTGAATATCATATCGCTACCGAGTGCTTCCATTAAGAACCGCATTCTATTAGTTAACAAATGTGGTTCATATGGCCACTATTTTTTTTAAAGAAATTTATTAGAAGCATAGCTGCGCAATGCCGATCACTGAGACACCGTTGCTGGGCTAGCCGGGCTACTTTTCATAATTTGAGCATTATAAGCAGCGCTCCCCAGCGCCCCACCATCCACAGGGCGCGTCGCTACCGTGCTGAGCTGAGTTACGACTGAGAGGGCCGGAGGGGAGGGGAGGGGGACTGTCAGCCACTGCGGCGTCCAACGACCGACTGACAGATGGGTCAGCCGCTGACACCTGGCCCACTGCCCCGTATCCAACCGGCGCCAAATCATGGCGACACGCGCGGCTGGTCGGAACCAGTTTAACACCATGCAGAGTAGTAATAAAAACGGCACATTATATCATACAGCCTCTGAATAAACAACTGAGGCGTGAAAGTCGCAGGACCGCATATTGATAATACATTTTTTTTCCCCGGCAGTGGTACCAGCATCCTCTACAGCTACACCAATGTTGCCATCAGGATCAGTTGACCAGGCGGCTGTCAGGAACGGTGTTACGAAGCCTTTTTTGTCCGGTTAGGAGGGCCTCGCTGACCCCCAGCCTACCGTGAAGGGTCATCGATCCAACCGGGAAGGCCCGACCGACCAGACAAGGTCACCAGTCACCAGACCAGACGCCCAGTTTTCTACCACCTAGCGACAGCGACACTACCCAATGCACTGGTCGAAAGAACAACGCGGAATAGCTCTGAGCTCTGGCCGTACACAAGGTTACCGTGTGCAGCAAAATCTACTCTAAAAGGTGTTTGCTTGCAATGAGTTAGAACTCGTTATTGTAATTCGTTGATAAAAAGATAAAAAATTTCACTTCGTTAATAATTGGAGCGTCATTATCAGAATTAATACAAAACGGGGTGCGTCGTTTTCCAGAAATAACTACACTGTCCGGTCCTCTGAAGCCACACTTCCGAAAAACGAACATCTCACGCAAGTTTCACCTATCCCAAACCAGTCCAACCACCAGGAGCTATAACGTCAAAAACTGTCGTTAAATAATGACAGACTCCGTTAAGCAAGGTAGAACTTTAGCCGGTCACCTTCCATCGCCCCAGAAAAGTGCGCCACTGGCGGCAAACTGCTTTCATTGTCCTTCCACGCAGCCGGGTGGCGCACGTGTCGCGAGCTGGCGGTGGAGATCGCCGTCAGATCGTCACCGGTCCGGCCGGTTCGCCGGTATACGGTGCACCGGTGAGACCCCATCCGTGACGTCACACAGCGCGTGGCCCAGATATCGTCAGTGAGCGGGGTGAGGCGAGGTGAGGTTCAGAGACGGTCGGCGGAGCGATGCGTTGGGAAAACGGACTCTGGGTGACGAAGCAGAATGCGATACATTCATTGAATTTACGATGGCAGTCAGTGGGCCAGTGAGAGCATACATAAATCCACAAATCGTGCATTTAAAGATCCAGGGAGCATGCAAACGGCACGTGTAGTTCAAAACTCACACAAGGAAACAGAAAATCGGTGCGAGTTCAGCGCACTCACCTTGAATGTTTTGTTGAATGACACATGTCGAGCTGCTTTGCACGAGCAGCAGTGCTGCACACTCAGGATCTGAAAACAGAACAACAACTCGGTTATGATTGCAAGACCCCAGCCATGATGAGTTGATGCAGTTTGCCGACGAATTTTCAAGTCAACCTTACAATGGTGAAAATGAATTCCTAAGAAAGCCCGCTTTCCAATCGAATACATTTTATTTGGATTCTCTTACACCTGTCTGAAAGAAAGCAGAGAGTAGTGGTTCGGGGAAGCAGTGGCGGATCCAGGGGAGGGCAAAAACGGCAACTGCCCTCCCAAACGGCAAAACTTTAGACTTCTTGCGAACTCAGCTGGACTCCCTATGTTCGTGGTCAGATATGTGGAACCTGACCCTGACTCCGAATAAGTGTAAGGTGCTGAGTCTGACAATGCGGCGCAATTCAGTAATGGCAGCTTAAGTGATCGGAGATGTTGTGCTCGAGTGCGTTCAAGTGATGCGAGATCTGGGCGTATTCTTAGACCAGAAGCTCACGTTTGGCGAGCATGTCGACCGCACTGTACGGAAGGCCAACATGGCTCTGGGACTGCTCATGCGCACATACGCAACAGGAAAGCGGGGCCGTTCTTTCAGTATGACGAACTATCGTGCCATCATGTCGACTAACTTCGCTAACGTCCGTTCAATTCTGGAATATCGCAGCGTGGTGTGGGCTTTAACGGCTCAAACACATATGAAAAGCACCGAACGTTCCAGGAAAAGTTCCTAGTTTGACTCTGTGCCCGCTGCCGCGTACATGTAGGAGTTTCCTTGGACTATCCTATCATGCATGATACCAGCAGCATGATATCACGTTTATCATCTGCACGCGTTGAAACTGTTCGTTCCTGCGCCTTCAACCGCATACCAAAGGCAAGTAACGCTTTTCTTGATGTGAACAGAGATGTGGATGTCTGGGAGAGCGGCGCAGTGGAATTCAGAACAAGAGTGAAACGGCATGTGATGGGAGTCTGACGGCTGACGGTATTCTTGTAACCATTTCTGGCACGCCGGTCAGTTATCAGATTTTACTGTGTTTGCGGTTGTATTTTTATGTGTTGTGGTATGTGTATGTCTATTTATGAGTTTTATGCAAGGCTGCACCTATTACTGGGTATCTGCCCGTTAGTGCTATATTGAAGTAAACAATAAACAAACAAACAATAATTCAATTGCATCAAAACCCTAGTCCATTTTAGACCTAAACACAGAACCTAACCGATGTTCAGTTGTACTTCCCTGAAAGCAAAAGACTATTCAAATAAACTGTGTCCAAACTGAGTCATGCGTTCCCGAACAAACTACTCCTGCATCAGCGGGCAACTTTCAAACATCCATCAGCGATCGAGACAAGATGGCAATCTATCAAATGCAAGTAATAAAACACCCACGATACGCTGCGTGTGACGCCAATGCGCACGTGTCAGGGGATGTCGCAACTCGCAACGCGAGCCGATGACCGGCAAATGTGCCTCGGCCCCGCCTTCCGCGGCGCACATGCGACGTTGCCCGACCGGTGCAGCTGTGAGGGGCGGGCCGGGGCGGGCAGCCTGCCAACGCTCCCGCGCCGGCTGACGCCAGGGCCCTGTTTCACCGCCCGACGCTGCGCGCGCTGCAGCGCGCTGGGAGCTGAGGCATACCTCCGACGTCACTCGAATGACGTGGCGTGCGATCCTTTAGCTTATGGTAAATCGCGTTTCGAACACAGACCTTGAAGAACCTAGTACCAATTGGACAGAAGTTTGAGTGCGAATACTGCTAGCGTGCGGATGGTGCTGGCGCCGCGGTGCTAGCGTTTTGCGATGACGTCATAGCGTAGCGTCAGAGGGAAGTTTGTTGATATTGCCATGGAAACCCAACGCGCCGACGCGCGCAGCGCACTGCAGCGCTCCGCCGTGAAACAGGGCCCTGGTAGGCACACGCGAAAGCCTGGCGGTGGCTGACCCGCCCGAGCACGAGAGCACGTCAGATTGGTTTATCGTTTGCATAACTAGCAACGGTCGGTATTGTAGTAACGCAACTGCGATGCAACTTCGATGCATTTACGATGCAGCTAGGGACTTTGTTATCCCGCCCCTATGTAGGGCAGCATTTACTCTCTGGACTCACAGAACACCCTGACGAAAAAATCGGACACCGCTGCGTCACTCATTGATTCCCAAAATAACGATCATGTGACAGAACCAGGGTAGGTAATACATTCAATGACAGGACGGTCGGTGAAATCACGTGACTCGGACAGTTGGCTAGGCCTAGTGACAGCTGAGTTATTGGTGCTCGAGCTAGGACGCACAAGTCAAGCCAGGAGAAGGGTCAATGACTTGAGCAACGGTGCTGGGTGAGTCGGTAATAAGGCAGAACACGGTCATAGACAGAGGTCTAAAGTCGTTGAAAATGTGATGGATAATGACGGATAACCGGGTTCAGCAGCCGATGCCAGATATCTGATTAAATAATAGAGATACAGCCGATGGCCAGTTCACACGCGTGCCCAATGGTGTCAGCTGGCAACCGGTCCGTTCAAATAATCGCGTCAGTCTGACTATCCGGCCGGGTCAGATGACCATGCAAGTGGTAACGACCCACCCAGGGAATACAGCTGGCCATCAGTACAGTAAGGAGCACTGACCAGTAGTAGTCATGCAACTGGCCAGTGGCCAGCCACTGGGAGAATGGCCCATCAACACTCTGATACAGGACCTGTGCTGGATGCTTATTGTTCAGTCACTGACAAAAAAAAATCATGGTCTTGTCATTGCCACAATAGTTGCAGCATGGGATCAGTGCCCCAAAATAGCATTTTGGCTTGGGTGTCAGCTGGGAAAATTCCTCACCAAAAAAGGTATGGGTCTGGGAGTGGGAAGTTGTGGGCCAGATAAGACCCAAAAAGGTGAGAAAGTGATCAGTAGCATAACTCTATCTACAAGTGTGGCTGTGTGGTAGGATGCAGGGTGTAAAACAAACCTCCACATACGAGGTTTTCTTCCTTAGATTCATTGGGAGTGGAAAATCACTCTTAAAATTTGGAGGTGGGTGAAAAATGATTCATTTGGGTGTTGCTTCCCACCCAAATTGACAAACTTTAGGACACTGCATGGTTAACATTGCTGGAAACATTCTTACACTTGCCCATTGAAACCTGCCAAGCATATCCAAGGTAGATTTCAAGAGTCAAACTATCTGTGGGCACCCGCTTTCACTGTCCACTGGTTAGAAAGGCTTAGCGGAGGTCGAAAACCAAGGGGGACGGAGCAAGCAATGGTTCACAGCATCGCCACTCCACACATGGTGCAAAATGAAATTGCAAGTGGCCTGCGCAACAATAATGCCAGGGCAGGGTTGGTGCTAACCACAAACACGCACAACATGAAGACTGAACAACCCAGCATTAACACTTGATTCTGCACTGACACCTTTCAATTTTGACAGATTGGAGTCAACTTGAGCCTAAAATAAGAACTAAAACATCCTGGAAAATGATTATTTGAGTTCCAAAAGTTATTTGTGTTATTTTCAACCTTAACTCCTCATGGAAGAATGATGTAAAGTCAAATGTTTGGCTATAATTGTAATGAGACAAAATCATAAAATGCAAGGCATAGAATATGGCAGGAATCAGTTAAAAATCAATGAAAGACTTCACATTTTATGTTAACTCACCTTCCTGGCAGATCTAAAAGCAGGAATATATACTGAAGCCATTAAAGACCACACTTTTCACAAAAACTTCACAAGAAGTCTTCCTTCAAAGTCGCACGGACAGTCGACACAAACGGGAAATTGACTCAAGTACCACCGATATTCACTGAATGTTTTCCTCAATATGTTATCTTGGCCAGCACAACCCTCAACAAAACTTGAAAAAATGCCGGCACAGCACACGGGAGACACCCCCACACAGCTTCACTCGCAATGGCCTTGACTCGCAAACGACTTCTGTGTATGCTGCTGGAAGCTGTTTGCGTCAATAATGGCTGTAGTGCGCCATAACTGACTTGCAGTGGCCTTGTGGCCTTGAAGAATAGTACTTTTCATTTTTATTTTAAGTATTTTTATTTTTGGATAGCAAAGTTTCGTGCTAAAAATGTGTCTGTCAAGCATAAAAACTTATTTAAAATAGTTTTATCTACAAAGGTAAGAAAAATATAATCATATCACATCAAATAAGTCATGCAACATCACGAATGAGAGTTCTTTCGAGCTTTCACGCCATCTATAAAGATTGTAGAGAACTATTTGGGCTATAGATGACGCCATACGCATATTTGCGTGGAAACTTACAGCTTACCCGCACGAAGGCGCCAGGGCTGAGGGCGGGCAGTCTAGGGTGTGTCATATCTAATATTTTTGTCTCAGATCAAGCGCTTCCGCGGATATTCCTTGTCCCTGGGTTCATTGAAGCCCATTGGCACTGTCCTTTTTTCGCTGCACCGAAAATTCAGGCGGCGCGGGCCCAATCAATTTCGACATTTTCCGTGGCGCCCGGCGTTGAAGTCTCCATACTGAACACAATGCGTACCGTAGCGCTAACACCAGCCATATGACTCGCCGTCGGCCTGTAGCGGCCAACACCGTTTGACGGTTCAAATTCGATTGCTATTTCTTGTTTAAATGGACGTCGGACGAAACATATTGTTATCTTAATGTGTTAAGGCCATTCAGGGACCCACAGATGATTCATATAATAGGATCACGCTGCAGCCTTGGCAAGACTATCACGAGTGAGGCAGGGAGAATGAGAGCACGGATGGACAGAGGGCAACGTGAGCGGGGTCTCGGGTATCACCCCTCCGTCGGCAACACAATGTGTCGGCTTTCGAGTCATGTGCTGTCTCTCCGAGGTACACGAGCTTGCGAAGAACGTGGGTGAGTCTGGTTTCAGCTGCGGCGTGAGCAGAAGTGCGTGTGGCGCAATCGAATCGGACTATGCGTGCCGCAGTGATACCGTTGCGAAGCAAGGCGAAACATTTTGTTAGCGGGTCTCCCAGTGTGCTGCCGGTAAATCAGCTGCCTACAAACAGAGATGTAGTGAACTATGTGAGACCCTTGGCAGGGGATGGAAAAAGTGAGCGGACAGTCACTGCATGTTTACGTGAAGCAGCGGAAGCGGTGGTTGCAATGTGGTCGAGTGAGGACATACCAACGATACAAATGCACAATGTGGTTCGGAAGGTAAAGCAAATCTACGAAAGATTTCGCCGATCGAACAAGGTGCCCAAAAGAATGCGGGAGGGACAAACGAAACAAAGTCTTTCTGAAGCGAGTCTGTTTCGTAAGCTTTTTGACATCGCCCGCTGCCGCTGTAAAGATCTACGCAGCTGTACCTGTCCACTTTAAAACCGGGTACCGCCAGCGGAAGTAGCATTCCTTCGAGACCAGAGAGGAGTTCGGAAGATGAGACTGGGTGGTGTGGACTACGAGGAGACGAGGAAACGACGTAAGACTGCGAGCCTTAGAATGAGACGGGAGCGGAACGAGGGGAGGGGCGACGTGGGTCAAGCAGGTCCTTCCCACCTCCGTACCTATCCCAACGGCGTCAATATCGACGAGACAGGCCAGGTAGACTCATCGGCAACGACCGACACCAACGACAGCAATGAAGACGTCCCAAGTGAATTTGAGATGAAGGAATGCATCAAAGACTCAAACGATGATGATATGACAAACACTGCACTGGCAGCTGACTGACAGGTATGGTTTATCCAACCGTGCTATAGCGGCCGTCATCAACGGTTTTCAGATGGATATCGGTCGCGTAGCGAGCGGCAAAACAGAATTGCTGGTCGACCCGAAAAAGTATGGAGAGAAAGATGCCGGGTGAGACAAAGTACAGTGGCCGCGCGGGACCAACAACACAGCGACGCTGAGCTCAAGGCCATGTACTTTGATGGAAGGCATTATCAAACTAACACAGGCCGAGGCGGCTACAGGGCAACTGAGGAACATGTGGCTAACATGTAGCAGAACCAGGAAACGAATATCTCTCCAACTTTACGCCAATTTCGGGTAAAGCCATTGATCAAGCCAATGAGCTGATAAACGTTGCCACTCTGGCTAATAGGCTGCGATGGCGCGGCTGTCAATACGGGCAGATCTGGTGGAATATGCCGACTTTTGGAGCTTATTCAAGAGAAAACGGTCCGATTGGTTTGTTTGCCAGCTGCACTCGAATGAGCTTGTACTCAGGGAAGTGTTCCAGAACTTGGACGGCAATACCAGTGGACCCGAATCATTCACGGGGCCGTTGGGCAAGGCAGCCGGCGCCTCCGTGCACCGTCTTTATCCCGTGAAGTTCCGACCGGTGAGCGGCCCAGAGCTGGAACTGCCGGACAATATCATCGCCGACCTCAGCAGCGACCAACTCCTGCCGTATCAGTTCACCAGAGCCGTGCGGACGGGCAACATCTCCGCAAAGGAGGCCTGCAAGAAAATCGGTCCCCTGAACCATGCAAGGTAGGCAAATGCTAATTCAGTTGAATTCATTTTGCTATTGAATGGCAAAGATGCATCTTTTCTGTGTAACCGTTGTCTAAATAGAGGATACTGTCTCGTTTGCATTGCTTACATCCGTATTCAGGGGCGGATCCAGGAAAACTCCAAGGGGAGGGTCATGAATCGAAGTGGTGCCCCTACCTATACCCAAAATTAAAAACTCATCGGATTTCGGCCACTTCATTTTGGTGGTGCCCTATTTTCGTTTTTTGTTTTTTATATATTTTATTTTGTGTGTGTTGCCCCTGGCGGGCCTGTGGTGCCCCTGCTAGGCCGCAGGTGCCCCTGACAGGTTTGTGATGCCCCTGGAAGGACTGTGGTGCCCCCTGACAAGCCTGAAGTGCCAACAACAGGCCAGTGGTGCATCTGACAGGCCCATGGTGCCCCTGCGAGGCCGGTGGTGCCCCTGGCAGGCCAATACCCGTGCTAGGCCGCCGGTGCCCCTGGGCTCTGACAGGACTGTGGTGCCACTGATAAGCCTGAAATGTCCCCGACAGGCACGTGGTGCCCCTGACGGGCCAAAGGTGCCCCTGCGAGGCCGGTGGTGCCCCTGACAGGCCTGTGGTGCCCCTGTTAGGTCTTTTGTGCCCCTGACAGGCTTGTGGTGCCCCTGACAGGCCTGTGGTGCCCCTGACAGGTCCGTGGTGCCCCTGCTAGGCCTGTGGTTCCCCTGGCGAGCCTGTGGTGCCCCTGGCGGGCCTGTGGTGCCCCCGAGCCCCAAGGAGGGGGTCATGACCCATGTGACCCCCCCTTGGATCCGCCACTGTCCGTATTGACAGCGTCTGTCGACGCTAACAGGCGAAGACGCGCGCGGCTGGTGCTAGTGTCATCAAACGCATTACGCCAAACATGGAGACTGCAACGCCGGGCGCCACGATAAATCCCGAACTTCTTTCAGCCCGCGCCGATCGAATTTTCGATGCATGGAAAAAAGAACTGCACCAATGGGCTTCCATAGACACAGGGACAAGGAAAATCAGCGGAAGCGCTTGATCTGTTTCTAGTGACACACCCTAGCGGGCACTATATATTGACAAATGACAATCGCCGGCACTCCACTAACACCCGCTCCGTGCTTCTATCAGGATACTGAAATCCTTCTCCTCCACGCCGCAACTCTCCCTCCGGGCTGGACAGGCAACTTTATCCCATGCGGGCTGCTCCCTTGGAGCGGCACCGCTGCTCCCGAGGGAGCGCACCCCGTAGCCGGGTGCAGTGAGTACCTACCTTGGGACTGGGTGGCCTGTCCTCGGACGGGCTCAGCCCCGGCGACTCACTAGGGTGCCTGCCCAGACCAATGTCTCCCCCTAATTCCTATCATCCTTCCGGCTCTGAAATGGTCTCGTCAGACCGAAAGGGCCTACCTAACCCAACAAAACAAACAAACAATCAAACAAACAAACAAACACTCCACAAGCACAGTAGTGGCTGTGACTTTCGTACATTTTAAATCCTACTCCTGTCCCCCCGCGGAGTCCCTATTGCACTGAGACTTAATGCAACGCTGGAAACGAGCCGGGTCAAGTTCGATCCCAGCCGGTGGAAGTTTGAAGTTCGACACTAAAGAGTCGAAGGCGCTACTCGCACAATGACGACCATGATTTACCTACGGGGATTAAAGGTAGTGTGCCACCTTCCAATGATTTCCCATTTTATTTTTCCTAGGATAAGAAGTTTCTGTTTTTACCTAATATCGCAAAAGAAATCAAAAATGGGCCTAAAATAGTGCTTTTTTCGCCTAAAAGTTTATCGGTTTTTCGATATGTATAACAACTGTAGTAGGCTGACCTGCAAACAGGCGTCGGCAACAATCACGAATGCGGCGCACATGTGACAATAAGCAAAGGTCATTATAGAGTTACGACGTACGGATGATGAGTTATCAGCTGTCTAATCGTAGACAACACAATGTCGAATTTAAACTGTAAGCCTGTATTGGTATTGTTTCTTTAATTTGGCTGCCGAACATTAATTTATGGTTTGAAATAGTATTTTATGTAAAATAATTGATATGAAACAGCCGTCTCTAAAGTTATGACCCCATCTCATCACATGAAAGTGGCAGAAATGACAATGATCAGCTGACGCATTTTTCTTGGCCGAAGTCAGAGCGCACGGCCCGACGCACCACCACCGCACCACAAAGTATGAGCAGAAGCCACCTGCGGTAGACCGCGCCCAAAGCCAGGGCCCCGGTAACGTGAGGTAGCCGAGTCGGGGCAGCGTGCGCTGACCCAAGCCGGGGCCGCGGCTTTGGGCGCGGTCTACCGCATCCCCGGGCAGCCCCGGGCTATCACATGACACCGGGAAAACGCGCGGCCCCGGCTTGGGTCAGCGCACGCTGCCCCGACGCGGCTACCTCACGTTACCGGGGCCCTGGCTTTGGGCGCGGTCTACCGCACCACCTAACAGGGGTGTTCGAAACCGCAGGAGATGATGATGAACGGGTTTATCGAAACTTGATTGGATGAGTGTTACGGGCGGCTGTGACCGCCCGTTGTGGCATGCCTGGCGCCGCCCGTGGCGCCTCCCCGGCTGGCCGCGCCCGGCGCCGCCCCTGCCGCGTGGCCCTCGGGCGGGGTCGAGGGCTGGCGCTGG